GAAGAGGTTAAGAAACAAATAGAAACTTCTGCTGTTTCAATGAAAAAGACCTTTGCTGCAAGAGAAAACTATCGTTCATTAGCTAGAATTGCATCAAAATTATTCTTTGTTTTAAATGATTTTTCACTTATTGATCACATGTATCAATTTGCATTGTCAAATTATATTGAATAATTTGGTGAAAATATTAATACATATTAAAGTAGAGGAGCATCTATAAATGACTCTTTATAAGAGAAATTATCAGATATTGCAGCTAGACATTCTGAAGAGATATTCAAAACTGCATGTAGAGGATTATTTGAGAAAGATAAACTATTATTAGCTATTTAAATGGCTGTAAACATTACAAGTGAATTAAAGAGTTAGATTACTATAGATTTAGAAGAATATAACTTTTTCTTGAGAGGTGGAGATCCAAATGCAGATAGAAAGAATCAACCTCATAATCCAATTTCAGATTGGGTCACTGAATAATAATGGTAAGCCATTTGTGATTTGGATAAATTACCAAACTTTACTGGTATTATTAATGCATTTACTCATAATGGTAAAGAATGGAAAAAATGGTATTTGAGTCCAACACCAGAATCAGATTAATTACCAGGTGAATGGGATTAAAAATGTGATAGTCTTAAGAAAATGATCTTACTTAAAATTATTAGACCTGATAGAGTTCTTTTGGCAGCATAAGCATTTGTTAATTCTACAATGGGATAATTCTATACATAACCACCAGCAACTTCTTATGATTCTATTTATAATGATACTACTAAGAATAAGCCTGTGATATTTATATTATCTCCAGGTGTTGATCCCTATCATTAATTGGAGTAATTTGCTAAGATGAAGGATTGTTAATTGTTACCAGTATCATTGGGTTAAGGTTAAGCTTAAAAGGCTATAGATAAATTATATGAAGGTAGTAAGGCTGGTTTATGGGTTTATTTGGCAAATTGTCATTTGAGTTTAAGTTTCTTAAAAGAATTAGAGAAATGTATGGAAACTCTAAGGTAATCAGATGCAACAAGTGAAAAATTCAGATTATGGTTGAGTTCAGCACCTCATCCAAAATTCCCAATTAGTATACTTTAAAAATGCTTAAAAGTGACTACAGAACCACCTAAAGGAGTTAAAGCAAATATGAATAGATTGTACACTAATATGTCATAATCAAAATTTGATCCATCTATTCTTTCATAATAGAAATTGACCAACTAATTACATTATATGAAATTAGTATATTCACTTTGTTGGTTCCATAGTTTGATTATTGAGCGTAAGAGATTCAAATCTTTAGGATGGAATGTTATTTATGATTTCAATGATTCAGATTGGGAAACTGCTGATAATATTTTATTAATGTATGTTGATTAGACATAACATGATAGTAAACACAATTAACAATAATAATAATAATAACTTGGATAATAATAATAAGATTAACCAGTTTAAAAGAGTCCTCCTTGGGATGCAATTAGATATTTAATAGCTGATGTTATATATGGTGGTAGAGTAACAGATAAATATGATTAAAGATTATTAAAAGTATATGCTAATAGTTTCTTCTAAGATAAGATTATTTTTGAAGAAAAATATAAATTAGTTGAAAATTCATAATATTATTATATTCCAGAGGAATTCAAACCAAAAGAAAGTAAAAATGATAAAATTAGTAATCATGTATTATTCTACAGAAGTAAAGTTGAAGATTTCCCACCAGTAGAGAGAGCTGAAGTATTTGGTTAACATATTAATGCTGAAATATCTTCATAAATAGCTGATACAAATGCTCTAATTGATTCAATCATATCATTATCACCTTAATCTGTTAAAGCTGGTGAAGAATCTATGGAATCCAAAGTTTAGAAACTTATTCAAGAAACATTAGGTAAAGTTCCAGAAGAAATTGATTTGTAAGAAGCTATGGAAAAAGTTAGACCTGGTGATTAAAATCCATTAAAAATTGTGTTGATGTAAGAAATATCTAGATATAATAAATTACTAAATACAGTTAGAAATTCACTCATTAATTTAGACAAAGGTCTTAGTGGTTTAGTACTTATTTCAGAAGATCTTGAAACCATTATGCATAGTCTATTTGATAATAAAGTTCCTTAATAATGGAAATTCTGTTATCATTCCTTAAAACCCTTGTCAAGTTGGATTATTGATCTTGAAAAAAGAGTATTATAATTAAGAAATTGGATCAAATAATAACCTAATGTCTTTTGGATTTCTGGATTTTCATTCCCAACTGGATTCACAACAGCTTTATTATAATAGAGTGCCAGAAAAGTTAATACTCCAATTGATCAATTTGGATGGGAATTTTCATTCTTACCACATGGATCTGAACCTTAAGCAGCCAAAGATGGTGCATATATACATGGTCTATTCCTAGAAGGAGCTAAATGGGATGAAAAGAATTATATAGTAGATGCTGAACCTATGAAATTACATGATTAAATGCCAATTATTCTATTCAAACCAGTTAGTCAAGAAGGTAAAAGTAAATCAAAGAAAGGTATAATATTATAATATATTTTTAGGTTAAAACTTTTATTTATGTCCCACATATTATTATCAAGTACGTTGTGGTGTTATGGAAAGACCATCATATCAGTTTGATGTTATGTTGCCTTGTAAACCTAATCCAGGTCAAGCTTCAAATGAAGAAGATTTCTGGATTAAAAGAGGTACTGCTTTACTAATGCAATTATCAGATTGATTATAATTATGCAATAAATCAAAAATATTTATCAACAACCTTCTTCTATCAATTAGAATTCCCATTACTTTTTAAGACCTAAAAATTCAGCATTACCATCTATGCTAGAACCATACTAAGATATTAAATTGAATTATCGTTTACCAAAATTAAGCAATTCATATAATCAATCATCCTCTGAAGAATCAAATATAAAATCATCTCTTTCAAATCTATAACAACTTTCATCTAAACGATATCTAAGTAGATTTATTAGATCTACTACTATTGAAGAACCAATCTTAAAAAAAAACTAAGAGATAATTCAATCTTGTGATTTAAAGATTAAAGAACATAAAAAATAATTAGCTAAAGTCTAAATGAAACTTTAAGTTAATTAAGCATACTGCAATTATTTACATTAAGAATTATAAAAAGAATCTACTTAAAACTATAAACAATTAATTGGATTTTAAGAGAATAGCTTCAATTATTAATAACCTAAAGTTAAGTATGTAATCTAATCATAATAATTATTGCGTTTTAGATAATAATCAAAGAGATTTAGAACCAATTAATCTGTATTAGATAAATGATTATTTAATTTTTATGTTTTATCAATACTTTCTAATAAAGAACAATCCCTCTCTTTCACGTCTGAGTGCACTTAAGACAACAGAAAGAACCTGTGATGTTCTATAAACTACTGCTCATACAAATAAATCTAGCAAATATATTCATGAAAAATTTAACACTGAACATTCAACTAATGAAGGTTATTTAATCAAAAAATCCAATCCTTTTTCTAAATAAAACAAATCCAAAATCAATATACTTATAAACAACATAAAAAATACATATAAATCTGAAATTGAAAAGATTAAAGAAGAATCCAGAATCCGATAAACCAATCCACAGCTACATATGTAAAATCTTTTAATCTATATTTAAAGTTAAGAAATGTTACTACGCAATAGAGATGATATTGCTATATTAATTGATAGATTAAGAAGAATTCTTCTTAATAAATCTAAACGATCCTTCTGTATTGAAATTATTTAAGAAATCAATAATCAAATTTCTAAAATCCGTAATCTTGGTATTTTAACATAATCTATTCATTAGATATCAAGATATTAGTTAGTTTAACTCTCTCTAAAATTGCCAAATATTATAATCTACTACATTATTCTATTCTCCTTGCTAAAAATGCAAAAAGATTTTCAGACTCTGAACCTATGCTCAAATATAAAATTAAAGCATATGAAATCTTATCCTTATGTTTCCTTAAATTAAGACTTAAGTAAGCAAAGACCTATATAACAAAATATTTAATGTGCAGCTGGAAATTAGATAAACCAAATGAAGAACTTAAAGGATATGATTAAATGGGAAAATATTATTATTATGAAGGTAATATTGAAATGGCTTAATTTTTTCATAATAAAATGATCAATGGAGATACTTTAGTAATATTGTTTAATATATTTATATTAGAAACCTAATTCATCATTAAAGAGATTGGCTGTTGCTAAATTTGAATAAGGTTCAGTTGGAAAAAGTAAGAAAGAGAAACAATCTGTCAATACTGAAGAAGCAGATTTTAATATATCATCAGATGATGAACCATTTGAAGTTATCTTTGCTTAAGATCATGATGAAGGATTATAAAAAGCTAAACATAATTTTGAACTTATGAGAAATGATTAAAAAAAGAAACCTTCTCTTTTACATTATTAAATTAGAAAACAGCCATAATTTGATAAAACTAATATTAAAAGAGCCTAATAAGAATCAAAAAATGCTAATTCATTTATTAGGTAGTATCATAATTAATTGTAGGATTCCAAAAGCTTAGTAAACTTAGTCTTTGTTGACAGCTAGAGGAACTTTAGACCTTAGTAAAATAAAAGGACTTTCTCATGCACATATATAACTTGGAGAACTTAAGAATCCTGTTTTGTTAAATCATTTAAGTCCAAATAGATGCTTAGTCAATTATTAGCATATTGAATTGAATAAAGCCCCTTAATCATACAAGAATGCTGAGGATATTGAACCTTTGTTTGATGTTGGTGATATATAAAAGATGTCAAAAAATCTTAACAAGTTAATTGCAATATTAACAGGTGTTGAAGAATGGCTCCAAGCATAAAGTGAATTATACTGATGAAATCATATACTTATACTTTAAATAGATAATTTTTATATTATAAAGGGATAATTTTAAGGAAATAAAAATGAATAGCTTTTCATTCAATAAGCTCAAAAAAGAGAATTATAATATATTATGTTTATTTATATTTTATTAACAATAACTCTTGCAGCACTTCCAAATGCAAACTTATCTATTGGTCCATTACTATAATCATTTACAGATGATGAAGATTTAGACCAAATTGTTTATGTTCATTAGAAAGTATATGAAAATTTTGATTATGCATCATTCCCATCCTTATCTTGTTGTCCAAATAACGTTACGAAATTTCGAGTGATGAATTTAAACAAGCAAGGATCAAATATTTAACGATTTAATCTTCCTTTTTATATTGAGAATCTTGGAGAAGAACCTTTACTTATTGAATGGTTAAATATCACAGAGGAAATTTCAGATTAGGATATATAAGTTCAAATTAATTATCAAAGAGATTTACCAATTATCAAAGGCTTTGATAATTATCTTGGATTAAACTTAACACATTTATGTTGGAAAACTCTAAATAATGATAGATATTGGAGCATGAAACGAGTTACTTTATAATTTGAAGGATATGATCCTGTGATATTTAATTATTAATTTTTATGCGGCAAAGATTATTATCCTGTAAGGTACTTAGTTTATTTAATTAGATTCGATTGGAGCAATATTATATTGATTATATTTGAAAGTTTGATGATATTAGTTCTTTCAATGTTTGGAAAGATATATGCAATTAAGGTTGTTTTCATAACAAAACAGTTAAAAAAGGAATTACCTTAAGAGAAATTAGATAAGATTGCTTAAGAGAGTTCTCCATTTCAAGGATTTTTATTGGGATGGTCTTAAGCATTATTTTATATGAGTCTTTTAATAGGAGCTTTGTTCATCTCTTTGTATTCATAAGAAAAAGCTGAGAAACCAATATAAATTATAGTGTATATCCTTTGTATAATTTGTTCAATCCATTTTATAGATGAATTATTTTGTGCATTTAGAAAAAAAGTTCCATTTTTTGTTAAATCTTTTTATTTTATTAGATATTGTGATATTTTTGCAATAATTTTGGGTGCTGCTTTATTTGCAATATATTTAGCAACAGAATAAATTTGGATTGTAAATAAATTATATAATGTAGTTAAGCAATTTAATATCAATTTGTATTCTTGGCTCCTTAATCAAATTATTTAAAATCACTTCTCTTAAAGATTGCTTATTGTTTTTTTTACCTATAATGGCAATGGATATATTTTGTTCAATTTATTTGGCATTAAATATAAGATATGAATGGGATAGTTTAATACTAAGATATTTTAATACTCCATTATCTGCATAAATTCCATATTTTAGACATATATACAAAAAGAAATGTGCATGGGTTTCAATATTCAATATCTTATTTCCAGGTTATAGTTAAGTTTATATTTTAGGTTTCTTCCTAGCATATGTTCATAGATTTGATAGATTAAAAAAAACATTTGTATATGAAATAGTTAGTTTTTTTGGATTATTAATAGGATTGATTCTTTGGGTTATTGTGTAATATTTAATATCATTTCCATTACCAACGTAATTTATATAAATATAATAAATAGTTCAATATTTACAGAAGTCTTAATGGTTTCAGCTTGTACTCTAATTGCATTTAGAAGAAATGAATTAAATCTTTTTTGGAGTGGTAATTTTTATGATGAAATATTACTTGATCCATTTAAAAATGAATTGGATAAAAAATCAGTTAAATTAATCAGTTTTTTTAATATTGGAGTTTCTTAAGATTTGAAAAAAAAGTATGCATTAAATTCTGGAGCAGAATAAACAGCCAATGTTTATGAACCTTTTGAATTAGTTAAGGCAAATTAGTCAGGTGAATTGAAATTAGACTCAATTTTATTTGAAGGATTGTAATCATTTTAAGAGATTTATTCATCACCAAATTAAACATATAGAAATAATGATTAGAATATAAATAATAAATAAGATAATAATATAATTGAGAATAAAAAATAATAATAAGAAATATAAACTGATATTAAAGATTAAAAAGATGTTGTTTAAGTAGACTCTTTAATTTAGAATAGTCAAGAATATCATAATTAAGAAAATCAACCACTTATCAATAATCAAAATAAAGAAGATATTAATATTAAAACAGAAAATCAATAATAATTAAAAGATTATCAAAATCAAAAAGATTAAAATGAAGATAATGTTGAATCTAAAACACCTCCTGATGTTCAAAAGTAAAAATCTTTAGGAAAACCTAAGATTTCTTTTCTTGAAAGTAAAAAACTCGAAGAGGTAATTATAGAAACACCAATTATTTAATCTAAGAATAATGAAGAGGATAAGAAATAATAAAAAATAGATATCTAAATCGAACTTAAAGAATAATAAAAAGTATCATAGGGAAATCAAAATAAATAAAGTAATCAATAAAATAAAATTGATTAAGTTGAAGAAAAATAAAATCAATAATAAAATAATAAAGTTTACACTTCACCTGCTAGATAAAAGTATTAAGTTAATCCTCCTAAAGCTAAAGAACCTTAAGTTGATCGCTTTCAATAAAAGTAATAACTAAGATAATAGAATGACAATTTTAAAAAAAACTTACAGTTCTTCCAAAATCAAGAAAAAGTAGGAAATTTTAAGACCCCTGTTAAAAAATGAGCATATTTTGTTATATTAAAATAAACAGACTTTTTATTCTAAATATCAAAAATAATGTATAAGACAACACAAAACTATTCATATGCAGGTAAATAACTGTAAATCAATTTAGATTTGCTATCTAGATAAGGTATTTCAGATAATGGCAGATCAATAATAACAATTGATAAAGAAAACTCTTATGCTCTTTTGCAAAAAAAGAAATAGCTTTAAAATAGAGAAAACAGCAGCTCAAGTTAATAAAAAAATGAAAATCGTTCGAATAGTGGATTATAGAAATCAGCATCACTTTAACAATTCTATCGTGCTTAATCAGCTGTTGAGAAAAATTCATACTAAAATCAAAAAGGAAATTAATAATAAATCAAAGAAATGAAGAATGTATCATATCTCTTTTTGCTCTAATAAAGTGGTTATAAATTAAGACACAATTAGACAAAATCAACCAAAGAATAAAATAGCAAAGGAATTGAATTTTTATAAAATGATTATTATAAACAGAAACCAGTTGAAAATTAGGCTTATAAGAGATTGAATGAGAAATTAGAATATTTGGAAAAAAAATTTAATTAATTAAAGGATTCATTTGTAAATATAAGTGAAAATTAATAAGATAAAAAATCAGATAGAATACAATAAAAATAGTATTCATTAGTATCTAAATACTTTCCTAAGAAGTTTATTGAATAATAAAAGAATAACAGTTAAGAAGAAAGAAAAGTGACCAAAGATATTAAATCCATCTTCAATATTTATTCATAAATAAAGGATATTAAAAGTTCTTCTTCAAATTCCTAATTATTGAAATAAACATAAGAAAAAAAGAATGTATAACTATAAGATTTTGTATCATAAATAAAAAGGGATTTTAATAATAAGAATTCTTAATTATTAAAAGGTTCTTATGTCCACTAAACAAATACTAATTTAAATAAATCTGAACGATAATCATCAATGGATGCTAAATATTATTATTTTAATAAACTTATTGAAACATAACCAAATGAACCTGTATAAATTTTAATATATTTAGTTCTTGTATTATATTTCGACTGTACTCACAGCTATAAAAAATAAAAAACCTACAGAAATTGATGAACTCATTAAAGATCATTTTTCATAAACATATCAAGTGAATTTAGTTTTGATTAATTTAGGGATTAATATATGCAAGTAGATTAGTAATACAATTTGATCCAGATAAAGTCATTAATTTACCAAGATCCAATAATTTAAAAACGATAGTATTTGATTTAGATGAGACATTAATTCATTGCAATTCAAATGTCTCTATACCAGGAGACATAATATTACCAATCACTTTTCCAAATGATGAAATTGTCTAAGCTTCTATTAATATTCGACCATATGCTAAATAAATATTATAAACACTTTCAAAACATTTTGAGATTATAGTTTTTACAGCATCACATTCTAGCTATGCTAATATAGTAATTGATTATTTGGATCCAAAAAAATAGTGGATTTCGCATAGATTTTATAGGGAAAATTGTCTATAAACAACAGAGGGAGCTTACATTAAAGATTTAAGGTAAAATTTATTTATTTTTAGAGTATTAGGAAATCGAAAATTATCTAATGTTTTATTAATAGATAATGCTTCATATTCTTTTAGTAAATAAATTGAGAATGGAATTCCAATAATTGCTTATTATGATAATAAAGAGGATTAAGTAATTTATTTTATTAATTTATAGGAATTATTACATTTGGAAAATTATTTATTAAATTTCAGACATGTTAAAGATGTTAGAGATTTAAATTAAAAATAATTAAAATTAAAATAGTTCTTAGATTATTCAGATTTTGATGATTTGTATAATAATTTACATGGTATGTACTTTTGATTAGAAAATTTATATGTTCTCATAATATTTTGATAATATATGGTTATAGTTGAATTAATGAAAAATAAACAAATATGATGAATATCAACAAAACTTTTGAATTAGCAGTTCTATGGCTTGTTATGTTTTTTCAATTTTTATTTATTATTCTTTTATTAACTAAAATTAATCATATTAAGGAACCAATGTCTTATCAATTTTATGCTTATTTATCTCTTAAAAAAAATTAGATCTTATTGATATTACTTATGACATTAGTTCTTACTAATCGCGATTTATGAATTAATTAGATAAATTCTATATTAAAGTGTCATATTTTTAACATATTGAATGACCTTCAATAACACTTTGAATGAGATTTAATTAATTAATAATTAAAGCACTGTAAGGGTTATCCTTTTGAGTATGTTTTATAAATAACTCAGAAATATGATTCACTGAGTCTATATTAAGGTTCTTAAAACTGTTTTATAGGATGCTTCTTAATTATGTTGATATATCAGTATAATCTAATTTAATGAAGACAGATTCTGTTGAAAATCTCTTCAGATCATTTTTTGTATAATCTTAGGTTGCTTGTTCATCAAAAATGATTTAGTTAGTACTCTATTCTGATGATGTCTACTCATCAGGTTGAAACGTAGGAAAGAGACGAAAAAGAGAATGTTGAGAATTTCTGGGTTGAGCATTATCTAGAATATGTTCTAGTCTCTTTATTATTTGTGCTAATTGATCAAGTTTATATTATTTCATAAAATTAGTTAACGAACATAGAAAATTAAAAAATGATGAATCAATCAAAAGACAACAAAATCCTAAATAACTTCTAATAATCTTTTAATGTCTAAATGTAACAATGACGAATATTATGATTGTACTATTAAATCATTTTCAATACTTTAGACAACTAAGAACATAAATTTAAATTTCTTTTCAAAATACTATGAAAATTGCTATAAATGATTTATGTTGCTAAAACATTTATATGGATTAGTAAAACATTCAAGAATTACATATAAATCATCAATTATTAATATTAAAAGATAGATCAAATAGGAAACCCGCTCTTATCTAAAAATCTAATAATGGTTCAGAAAATAAATTAAGTGTTAGATCTTAAAACATAATATGGAGAAATAAAAGAAAAAAACAATATAATATATGTGATATCTATATATATTTACTTAAATTGGATTATATTCATAATATTATTATTAATTCTCAAATAATACCATAAAATAATTAATAGAATGGATATTGATTATAATTAATGATATATTTCATGGTTTAATATTTTACAATTTTTAAATTGGTTATGATTATTTTATTTATTGTACTAGATTTTTAGGTTTTGCAGAGTGAACTTGAGTAGCTAATATAGTCCATTCTCTTTTTATATAGCTTCTCCATTCAGTATTTTCGTTATCACTATCATTTTTATCAAAGTAAATGGTTGGAGATTCACCATTATTTTCTATAGCACAACTTGAATTAATTCTATGGTTTTGATTATAGGTTACTGATTAGTTAACTCTTCCTAATTAATTCTCAATTTCCATTAAAGATTCTTTATATGATTATTATAACAATAATACCTTAATACAAAGGGAGATATGATGTTATTGTCTAATCTAATAAAGTTTTCTTTCTTTATGTTTAACCTTTTCTAAAATGACTTACTCTAACAGAATTAAATCCAAATTCATTTTAATCTTCTTATGATTATGCCTTCTATTAATTAGAATAATATTAATACTTCCTTTTCTGATTAAACTAATATTTATAATTAAGCATATTAATCTTTATGTTCAACAAAAAATGTTTTGTAGTACATAAAACTTTTTTAAATTTTTTCCCATTTTTAATTTAGATTGAGATTGGATTTGACTAAAATATCATTATTTGCTTCTATTTATTTAATGTATCTTTTTAATTAATCATTTTCTATTTCATAATGTTTACATAAAATCATTTCTCTTGATAAATTCTTTTTAGTTTCTTCTAATTCCAATTCTAATTTACGAACTCTATTTTATAATTAATCCTCTGTTAATTTGATTTATTAAGTTGATCTTTTGGCATTAATTTATTGAATTTAAAAGGCTCTAGCTAAATTCAACTTTGGGACTCGAGATATATTCTTTTATAAATCTTCTTATCTTCCATTTTATTAATATGAATCATTAATTCCTATAGCTCCATCAAAGGTTTAATTCAAAGTTTAATAATTTTTTTTTTAAACTTAAGGTGCTTTATTAGGAAAAGGTGATAGTATTGGAGAATGCATCATATCTGTATTCATAGGAGATTAAATTGAATTTATTCTAACTGGTAATTCTACAGTGGGTAATCGAGACTCTAAAATAAGTTACTCGAATATTCTATTTACATTAAATTTAAGCTAAGATTTCTAAAAATTCATGTTATGCCTTTTCATAATCTTCATCTAAATCTATTAATTCACCTTAATTTTTCATCTATAAATTAGTTATTACTTTATTTATAAGGGTCACTAATTTTAATTAAATACTCTTTAAATAATTAACTTATAATTATAATCTCACTATCAATTAATGCAATGTTTCCATTTCTTCATGTAATAAAATAGTAGCTGAATTAGGATGAATAACATCTCTATATCTTACTACAACTCCAGTAGTATCATCAAGTGAATCAACCTATTTTTCAAGTTAACCAATCTTTTAGGCTTATTAACTGATAGTATGATTGAGTTCATATATTGTTGACTCAAGTTCAGCAATTAGTTTCTTTTCACTCTTTTCTGCAGCATATGTAATCTCCTCTGAAATAAGGGCTTTGCCTTAAGCAAAATCTCTCTCTTTTTAAACTTTATCTAAAGATGACATCAAATGAACAACTTCTTTTTACTGTTCTGTAATTACTAATTTAAGTGCCTTAACTGTGTTTTCATTCTCATGAATACTCGTTTGTTAATTATGTCTAGGAATGGTAACAACTTGATCAATCATAGAAAGCATTGACTACTTATTCAATTTAATGACAGTTTGTAAATCCTCTATATTGTTTCTCAACTATTGGTTCTCCTAATGTAAAAAATCAATTTTGGCTTTCAATTAATGTGGACTTTCACTCATAAAATAATTTATATAATCAAATATCATCCTTATCTTTATCATATTTTATTGTAATGACTCCTTTCTCCACACCAAAATAAGACCATTATCTTTCATATATATCAGGAATCTAATTAATTTATTTTATACTTTAAATGTAAGTGTAAATTCTCCATATTTTCTTTCACTTTTCTCCAATTATCCTTGATTAATATAAGGTCTCTATTTGTTTCCCTTAACCAAAGTAACAACATTCTGTCTTTGTATATCAACATCCTCATTAGTCAATCCTGGAGCATCCATCAATATTATATACTGATCACCTGCAATAATATCTGTTGCAGGCTAAAAGGAATCTTATTAACCTGTAATTAAACCACTCATATCAACTTATCCTTAAGGAATTTGAATTTTATCATGAAATTCATTTTCTGTTTTAATAACTTTGATCAAAGGATCATCTGTGTCTTAAAGATCAATTTTGATATTCTTTCTAAAAAAATTAACAAGTTTTTATCTTGATTAAATTAACAAACAATCTAATACTGAAAAACTTCTGTTTACAGGTATGAAAACAGCTTTTAACCAATATCTAAGAAGTGAAAATACCCAAGGATTAAGACTCTTACCTAAATTACAATCATCATTCACAATACACACGTGTCTAGTATATGGAGTCTTAAACCAAAGAACATGTTTTTCTTAAAGTTATTTATTGATTGGATTTAGAGCAGCTACTTTTGTTTTTTATAGAGTTCCATTTGCATATATTTATGTTACTTATGTACTCCAAACATGTTCTAATATTTCAGGTGATTCAACATCTTTTAAATTATGTATTACTATAATTTCTCTAAATGTCTTATTAGGACTTTGTTATAGATTACGACTTAATCTATCTAGATATCTTTGATCAAGACTAGTAAAATCATTAACTACACATAAAAAGTAATCTGCTAAATCAAATACTAAATCAGATATAAATGTTTCTGTTGCTTCTTTATCTACAATAGATAATTCATTTTCAATTTTAACTGGACTATATGTTCCAGCTGTGTCCACTAAAATCAATTTTGTACCATTATCTACATTAACATGCTTAAATGAAATGCCTCTAGTTGTAACTTTTTTTCCAGATGGCAAATTACTCATTGTAAGACTGTTCAAAACAAAGGTCTTTCCTTTATCATAAAGTCCAGTTACTGCAACAGTTGCTCCTTCTAATGCTTTTATGTTTATAATTTCTTAGTTAATCATTTTTGGAGACAGCCAAACTTTCCATCCAGAATTGTTTATAGATGTTATAAAATCTATATCAACTACCCAATCATAGATGCTAGTTTCATCTATAATTTGTGTATTTTATTTTTTGAAATCAGTTGGATTTCCTTTAAAGATACCACATTGTCTTTATCGTTTGACTTCACTTTATCTTTAAAACTGATTAACTTCATGTTAGAGTTCATGTATTTCTTTGAGCAATTGAGAGATTTACCTAATTTATTTAGTATCATTTTGTAAGATGGCTTCCATTAATTTATTACTTTCTTTTTCTCTTAGATTATATTCCATTAACACTGCTTCAAACATATCTTTAATACGCATAACATCAGTGGCTCTATTGGTTTCTCGAATAAAATCAGCGAAAACTTGATTGATTTCTTATTTTAATCCTTTAATTGCAAAGATCAATGGTGCAATACGTGAATGTATTTTAGGATTGATATCATCATGAACTTATTAAAACTCTTATTCAAAGTTATCTAAGACTTTAGTATCGAAAAGAGTATCATTCATGGATTTTTATTATTAAGACATAATTTTAATTTCAATTATTAAATCTCAATCATTACCTTCTTCATCAGACATTCTTTATGAAATATCCCCTCTTAATTTCATCTATCCAAAAAAAGAACGTTATGAATTATCACTTGGGAAATCTATCTTCTAAGTTTCTAGTACTACTTTCATAGGGAATCCATTATTTGTTTCTTAAGGATCAATATAAAAGTTATGTGTCGAGAGTGAAATAGATTCTACTTAAGATGATTATTGTTATTATTATTATTGCATTAGATCAGTTCTACGAGCTACTCTTCTATTTGAAACATTCCCATCAAGACTTTACTTATTTTTACGATAAGATGATTATGCAAATGGGAATACTCTTTAATTAATTTAACTCTTTCTTCTATGACGAAGTATATTATCAGCATTCCTTGTATTTAAATAAGCATTCTCATTTATTTCTAACTATCTAAGATTGTTTTGTTTTTGCATTTCTTTTATTCTCTTCTTCACTTTTCTTCTTTCAATTGCTCCTCTTAATATATTACTTATAGAACTAAAAGCAAATATATCTACTGCAAAATGAAGGAATTTCTAATCAACTAAATCAGGAAACTTAGCTTCCCATGATTTTCTAATCTTTCTCAATACTACTTTATCTTCAATTTATTCAATCCCAAGTAAAGCATTCTTTTTTTTTACTGCATTATATGCTATCTACAAACAAACATCCTTTATGTGAATCATCTCATTTTAATATATTAAAACTTAAAAATCACTTAGTTTTTTAAAGATATCAATCTTTTTAAGGTGCATCTTGGTTCTAGGATTATAAATATATGCTGATTATTTCTTATGATCTAATATTAAATCAATATTATTACTTTAATTAAAATCAAATAATTATAAACAAGCATTTTCATCCTTAAATCCAAGAGGTGGATTCATCTCAAACATTAAAAATGCAAAATCTTCAGGAGTTATCCATCCAGTTCCTTTTGGATCATAATCAGACCATTTTAAAAAGAAGTCTTCTATTTAATAAGGATTTATGACTGCAGTATTTTCAAGCAAACATTCCTAATAAGATTCTATTATCATAGCCAAAAATAATGAGATCATTATTATCCTTATTAATACCAAAAAACTAATAAAATAAAAATATCCAAAAAATGTACTACATCCTTATACTCCTTCTTTTAATATGTCTTCTGGACTCTAGGAATGACAATCAACTTTATCTATAGTATAATCTGACATATAGAGTGGCCAATATTAACCTGTAGTAATTTCTATTAAAATTAAGACAGCATCCCAAAAATTCTAGAAATTCTTATTTCTTTAACCAATTTCTTAATAAAATGGATATTAGGCATCTTGTGAAGTTGATTTAACTACAGATAATGTTTGAATTCCAATTAATGCATAGACAATAATAATTATAATGATAAATGCAACTACACTTAATAATGTTGGTAGAATTTCTTATATGACATCAATAAGAACTTTGAGTTAACGATTTAATTTAAGTATTTTATAAGTGTTGAGAACTCTTAAACAACGAATGATCAATGGAATCATATACATCTTAGGCATTTCTATTTCATCATTCAATATTAATAAGGCATCTGTAGAAATCAATAATAAGATATCAAATCTATTCCATGAATCTTTGAAATAATAATACCAAAAGGCTGAAAATTTGATAAATACTTCAATATGAAATAGTGTAATAAAAATAATGTCTAGAACATAGAATGCTGATTTTGTAGTTTAATTAATTGTGTTACTATTGGCAGAACAACTAAAATATGATAGCATTTTACAATATCAAATTTAATAAGAGTAGAATAAGTATAATCAATTCAAAATACTTATATGTTGCTATAGAGTAACATATTTATCTGAATTGATTTCTTGGTTTTTCAATTAATCTAATTAGATTCTTCTTTTGCATAATATACATCATTTATAACCATTCTCTTTAATGTTCATTGAGAGATTTGTAATTACTTATATTTTCTTTAATAGTTCTATAATTATTAATTATTAAGCCAGTGAATAGATTCAATAACATAATATTCAAAAGGAATAATAATATATAATATAAGATCTAATAATTGGCAGATGAATTAATTTTAGGATGCATTCCTCTTTCAGTAATATCTGATACATAAAACATTTAACTTGCCCATCCTTCACCAATAATGATTCTAAACAAACAAAGTAATGAATCTTAAATAGTATCAAAATTAGTTATATTATTAATCCATTCTCCATTTTAATCTAAACAATCTTATTTTGTATATATGTCATCATATGTTTATACATTTGTACAAAAGTATAATTTGCCTTTCCATATTGTCATACAAAAGATACTGAGAATCCAAATACAGATACCAGTCACAAATATCATAGATGATAATAAAGATATAGTTTGAAATAATGATTTAGATATCAAATTCAATTCTTCACTTTAGGATCCTCTCTAAATATCATTTATATATAATTACTCTAGCAGATGAGAATACTCTTAAAGTACGCAATGCACGAAAAGCTTTTAAATATCCACTATTATAAAGATTTAGATCACTAATAGAACTTACAATTAATATAGCCAAATCAAAATTATTTTAATTATTATATATGAATGCTCTATTAGGTTCATTATGATTCCAAATAAATCCATGAGCTAACATTCTTAATACAATTTCAAATATAAAAATTATTGTAAAGATAACATTAAATTTCTATATTAAATCTTTTTATTCATATATAGGTAGATCTAAACCTAAAAGTATGATATTCAATATTATTATTGAACTCATCAACCATTCAAAATATTTATTCTATATCAATTATTGTATTCTTTTTCTTAAAATGCTTTTATTATGTAATACAAATAATGCTGAATTCATAAAATATTGCTTATATGATTAATTTGTGCTAATGGATACTTTAATGTCATCATTACTTTTGAAAATTGTAATTTATGGTAATTTTGATGTTTATCTTTGTAAAACTTAATGTTTAGATTCTTGTTCTTCATCATCACTATCATCTGACATTTTAGATAATCTTCCAAAGTATCTTTTCTTATCAATCTAAGAAGAATTTTATTATTATTATTATGACTAAACAATAGGTACTACTTTTGTTTCTATTAAATTTATTATAATAATAATAATTACTTTACATAGATGAAATAACCCTTTAAGCTCTAGCTTTAGATTTATCAGCTTCATTTTTAGCTTCTTCATAATTATCAAGCATTATAGTTAAAAATGAAGATAAAATGAAGAATCTGCATAAAATTAAAACCAAAATAAAAAATGGATAAGGTATCCAAGATTTTGTTTCTAGAGTTGTGTAAAATATATTCTACCATTGATCAGAACATATTATTATAAATAAAGAGGATACTGTATTTCTAATACTATCAAAATTTGCTCTTGGTAAATATTTACCTTATTTATCATAATTTCCTAATTCATTAAAGGCTAAAGATCCAGCAAAATATTCTCTTCCTAATATTCCTATAACTATCATATATGTTAAGAACACCAAAATTAATTTAGGTATATTGACAAAAGATTTTTATAATGCTTATAATAACACTTTATAGTTTGACCAACTTGTTTATGTATTGAAGAACCATAATAATCTTAAACCTTTAAATGCATTAAGTACAAATGGATTAGTCATATCATTAACTTAAATAATTATGCTTATAAAATCTATTATAAATTCTAAAAGCAAAGTATATTTATTTTCTTTTTATTTCCAAACATATATTCTTGCTATATCTTCCATAATATATATCAATAGAAATACTAAATTAATTATTGTAATTTTATTCTCAAAATTATTATGATATGCTGATTCATCATTTAATGAAAATAAGATTAAATTTGTTATAAATAATAGTGAATAAAAATATTTAACATAATTAGATGATATAATTTATTTAACTTTTATTTTTAATTATGATCTCTATCCTGATTTTTTATGTTAATTTTATATCAATTAAAGAGCTCTTTATTTGCTCTTACTTAAATGACCAGGAGTTAAAAAATATGTTCTACGTCTCTCATTAATAATTTGAATTTTTGTTTAACTCTTTATTTTAATTTTTGGTATTTCTTCAACTTACTAATCCATTTAATATTAATTTAAAAGAATTGCTACTAATAGGTTTTATAAAAAGAAAGTTCCAATTATAATATAAGACCATAGAAAGATTGAACTAACATATTTATTAAATGAATCTGCTAAATTTTATTACACTTCTACCCAACCTTCAATAAAATGACAAATAAACAAAGTAAGTAAAGCATTTGGTATTTCATCAAAGGAAATATAATCATATTATGTAAATGGTTAATGAAAATATCCACTTTAACATACATATCCATCTGAACATTTTCTACCCATTCCACATAATCTAGCTGGATAAGCGTCAATCTATCCATCTTTTACACAATATTAATGCAATTAATCACTCCATATTTGAACTCCCATAGTAGCATAGATATAAGTGAATAAAGTAATTATTATTATGACATAGGCTGTCATCATTAATGCATGTTTTACTGTATTACTTAATTTCTTTACAATTTAGAAATATTTGGTCTAAACTATAAAATCCACTAAAAATAATGCTCTAAATATGTATAAGTAGGATTGTCGTAAAATCAAGGCAAATAATAAACATATACTATTTATAAATGCATAAGGGTCTTTGTAATATCCATATTTGCAATTCCACATTCTAAATTTTAAACTTAACTCATTACCCATAAGAAATTATTGATATCACAATTTAAATGCTAAAAATTACATCACATGAAATAATTATTCCATTTATCACTCCGCTTGATATAGAAATATTTAATCCACTATCTTCATTATTATAAGGCTTAACAATTAATACACATACTACTATAATTGACTAAAGTTATTTAAAATAATTACTAATAGAGAATGAATCCATTAAAATAGTTTGGATTAACAGATTTAAATACAAAAAACTCGAAACCTATTGTTTAAAGCAAAATAATCTAATGAAAATCTACAATAAGGATTATCATCATCATCATATTTTATCAGATTCTCATTTGATTCTTTAGGATTATCTGACTAATTTACCTATTTCCGAATCTCAGCAGCTGTGGTATCTCCTCTTTTGTCTAAAACTTAAATCCTAATTTACTTTAGTAATTTGGTATAATATCAAGTACTGATGAAAGCACATCTTTCTCATACTCTTTTGAACCATCCTTTGCTGATTTATTTTTGAAACAGTTTAAAAATTATTAAAACATAATATAATAATAATATATTTATCATTCTTTCAAAATTGATGTACCCACTATATCTATTAATTCTAATTCCCCATCTGATCTCAATATCTCAATAAGATTTAATTAATTAACCATTTTCTTAACTAATTCTTTATCTTACATATAAATTTATTTCAATTCATTTATTAAATATTTATAAACAATACTCTTTGAAGAACTAATAAATTAAATTCCCTAATAGATCATTAAACTAATTTATTCTAAACTTTATTCATTGAATCTTTATTTAATCATTTACAGAAAACATACAATAATTCCTAACATTATTTTAGATTAGTATTTCATTATTATCTCTTCATTAATTTCTTCCTTATTCCTCTAATTTTCAAATTATTTTTGGACATCTTCTATTTTCTTTATTTTGTCCTATAAATCTTATAAAATCAAATCTTTATTTATAATTAATCTTAATTATTTTTATAATTCTTAAATTAAATGCTAATCATCAATTAAATTCATAAGTATATTAATACACAACTCTTAGCATTCTATGTGATCATCACTAAAATGAAATAAACAATTTTGAATAATTTAATCATTAAATTAAGTTATTTTATTCTAATACCTGTTTACTAAATGATACATTAATAGAAATCCATTATATCTTACATCAAAATTGATTTCAAACAAAGAGCAATTTTAAGAAACTTTTAATATTTCAATTATAGGTATATCTTAATAAAGATAATATTAAATAATTGATTAGAGTGTTTTCAAACCAGATCTTCTAATTCTCCAATTTCTACTAATAGTAGAATAACAGCATAAAATTACACATTCATTCAATCTTTTTTCATTAATAACATTTATTAATTCAGTTTAAATAACACCAGAGAAATGTGGAAATAATTATTAAACAACAGATTCTGATACTTTTCTTAAATCATCACAATGAGAATTCTTGTATAATAGTATTAAAAGTTAATCTTTTTCTTTAGGATTAAGAGTCTTTAATTCATTTAAAGCTTGAATTCTAATTTCTAATGATTCATCCATCAGACCTGCTAAGAGTGTTGCATGTATAAGTTCTTTAAAAGTTTAATTTTCTTATAAATTAACTAAGTGATGTATATATTTCAAAGCATAAGATCTAACTTACTCATTTTAATGTCTAGCAATTCTTTGAGTTATTTCAATAAATTCAATAGCATTATCAAAAATGAAATTATGATTACTTAAGAATATTTCCATAGTCTTTAAAAGTCCATTTATATTAATGCCTTATTTATTGATGAAGTAATATTTTATAAGAGATGTTGGTTCAACAATCCTTATTAAATTATTAAGATCAGGAAATGGAGCATTTAATAGAATAGAAGTGTATTCAAATCCCTATTGAGGAGTATTTAATGTAAAATCCCATCTGATATTAATGAGAAGTGATTCAATAACTTGTTTATTTAAAGATGAAAAATCATATTTCTTATGGATTAAATTTGAAATCAAAGAGATAGTTAAATTTTATACATCTGGATTTGAATGTTGTAATAAGTTTATGAATTAATTTTGCATGAGTGTATATATATTGTTTTCTTGTTAAGCGATTTGCTTTTTATTAAGTGTAAAAGTAATACATTGAAAATAAGAAGTGCATTAGATAAAGTTTATGGATTATCTAAGAATTGAAGAGCAATCTAATATAATTATGAACTAGAGTAATTAGATTGATTTAAATCCTATTATTGTAAGGTATTATTATTTGTTAAATGTATGTCCATTAAATATTATAAATTAATTAAGTAAAATGTAATAACATTAGGAATTAAGTTTTGGATAAGTATTGTCTATTGAGATTGCAAAGATTGGAAATTACAAGAATATGTTTGGAACAAAAGCTTTGACTTTAGTACTAATACACTTTATATCATTGATGAGTTTTAATTTGAAATTTGAAAAAAACTAAGGATATGAATATTTTACTCATGTAAAACTAATTACTATTGTAGTTTTTAAGTGTATTTACAAGACCTCCAGATATATTATTCATACCAATTAGCATTTTGGTTTTGATATTATACATATTTTTATATGGTTGTCTATTGTTGATGTCATACTTGCAATATGAGAATTAGAACAAGATAACGATGTCGAAGAATAAATTCAAGAGATTACATATGATGTTGTCGTTAGGGATTGAGAGTGCAGTGTGGCTTAGTTGTCCAATAGTAGACACTTGATTAAATTCTAGTTATCTATCAACTTGGGGTTGTTCAATAAACAAAGTAGTGCCTGGAGTGCAATGCCAATCGTAAACATATTTCTGCACTCTATCATTGTGTTAAGTTACTTCTACTTCTATCGCAGTTATCAATTCAATTAATTAGGATTGTATAGAACATTCAATCTAGCATCTTATTGTTATTATCTGATTGTGATATTTATAGTAGCAATAGATTGGAATACAGATTTATAGATTCAGCCATATATATTTTGGTTACTAAGTATATTCAAATTGATAGACATAATATTGTTTTTGCCATATAAGATGACATTTGAAAACAAAGTATATATGTTTGGATGTACTGGATTATTTATAGTATCTTTATTGGGTTCTTTATCATAAATTACATCTTCTATAAATGGGGACAATATATTTGAGATTTTCTTATTAGCATTTCCAATATTCTTTTATTTATTTAGATAGTTATAAAGTTGGAAATGGTAGGATTTGATATTGTATATGAGAAGTGGTTCAATGAAATAGATGGATATAAAGAAATTGTGTTCATCATTGGAAGCACTTGTATGGTATATAGAATAGGCTAGAATGGATTCATATATATTTATGTTATCACTTTTTGTATTAAAATATCATACTGAAAATTGTAATGATCCTAATTGTGAATGCAAAGAAGATTTATCTAAATCAAATACTTAAAATGGAGAAAGTATGACTCATAGATCATCATTTTAATCTAGAACAGCTTTATTGAGTAATGGAGATAAAAATAGTAATCCATAAAACATATCTTAAAATTTGGATGTCAGTTAATTTCAAAAAACTATTAAAGATGGAAGTCGTAAGAATGATTCATTTGTTGGTGGTATATAACCATAATATGAATAATAAACAATAAGGGCAACAAAAGCTATTGTATATTAACCAATGAAATTCATTTAAAATAATATAATAAATGAAGATCTTATATCATAATATGTGAAAAGATAATTTCATTAAACAATTTAATAATTATCATTTTCATTACATTTAGATGAAGTTGAATATTTATCATTGAAATATATTTCTTTTATGTTCTCTTTCAAATAGAATAGTCTTTCATCACTTACAAAACTCAAATAAATATAAAGTAGAACTGTTTAATTTTCATATTTTTTTCGAAATGTTACAAAAGTAACAGAATCATAATTTATTGATGCTCTTAAATTAAAACATTTTGAAGATAAAAATTCTTATGATGATGTAGTAAAAATGAATGTAACTGAAATATGGAGATTAGAAATGGTTAAAGATGATATTGTTAAAAGTATTGTATCTGTTTTAAGAAAAAAGATAACATTATGGGAAAATTTGTGTTCTGGTGATATTCAAAATATGAATAGATTTTTAGAAGATATTATTAAAATATCACTTTAAATAGAATAAAGTAGAAATAAAATTGATTTGATACTTAGTGATTTTACAAATCAAGTTCAAAGAAATTATAGTTATTATTTAAAATATCAATGTTTTAGATCACTCTTTTTTGATTCAGATTATAAATAAGCAGTCATATATTAAAGGAAAGTAGAAGATTCATGGTAATTAAGTAGAGCTGCTCAAAAATAAGGATAGATTGGTAATTTTTAATGGCTTTCTGGAGATTTAGTAACATTAGAAGTCAGTGCTGGAGTTTAAAGTGGTTAAATTATTAAAGGTGTATCTAATCGATTAGTTGATATGTTAGGATATTCTAATTATGAAGACATGATATAAAATCTACGTATTAGAGGACTACAATCATCTCATTAAAATTAGAATTCAGATAAATTATAAATTTCTAGTATTATGCCACCATATTTAACTGCTTCTCATAATTATTTTATTTCTAGATTTATTCATAGAGGTTATACATATTATTATGATAAACCAATTACTTCTTATGCATGTGATTCTTAAGGTTTTGTATTTCCAGTTAATATCAATTTATCATTTAATTTTTAAAATCTATCTGATTTTACACTCTTAGGATCTATTTTGAAAATTAAAGATGATGATGAATATCTTATATTTGATGAATGGGGACGTATATTAGGTGTATCTATGCATACATTTGATAAATTGATATTAAAAGGAGCATTAGATGAATTTGGTATTGTATAATATAAATCTGTTAATTAAAAATTTGAAAAACTTGGAAATCTTAAAAATGCATTACTTAATAAAATAGCTAGAGATGATAATGCTAAATTATTTAAAAAAACTATCACTATGCATTAAAAATAAAGTACAACTAAAAGTCAAATAAAAAGAACATATTAAAAACCATCTGATATTTTATTATAATTTGGAAGTATTTAACATTTTTTGCCATAAGTAGGAAAATCTATTACAGAATTATTGGCTAAAGATATCTTTAAAAAATTATAAAGAGAATCTTAAGAATAATTTAATAAATTGACAGATAATTAGAAAGCTTAAGAAAACTAATAATAAAATAATAATAGATTATTTGAAAAATAAGCCAGCAACATTTTTTAAAGATAAATTAGTTAATTTATTGATAAATAATAGAGTTTAAATTAAGGAGGATTGTCAAGTGCTATGTTAGATAAAGATCAATATAGAAATTTCATAATGAATAATTTTATTGATGATAAAGGATTGATGAAAAAGAATACATCATTATTATAGGATGAAAGATTGGTACTTTATGTTCCTAGAAATTATAATGAATTAATTGAATATTTTAATGATGCAGGTGAAAGATTTATGGAAAGTAAAAATGATTTGGAAACTAAATCTATACGTAGATAATAAATGTAGAATAAATATTCATATATTAAATAACAATAGAATTGTTATCATTTATTTGATGCTGAATTCTAAGATTTTATTGATAATAAAGTAAGAAAATATTATTCTAAAGCTTTATTAAAAGAAGCATTAGATTCTCATGATGCTAAATTACTTTAATAAGTAAGGTACAAGTGTGTTTCATCAATTGATGTAGGTGTTGGAGGAGTAAGTGACAAAGATTAATTCTTATATTTTGTTTGTAAATTATCTTCATTGAATCTATAAACAGCCAAAAGAAAGGATGTATTAAAAATACATATGAAGAAAGAAAAAAATCAATAATTTGATGGAGGAGAAGAATTAAGAAAAAGTTTGATTTAATAGGTATCCTCTATGGATTCATTTGATAAAGAAAAACCAAGAAAATCATTACCTTATTAATAATAAGAGAGTTTTGGTCCTCCTTAATAATAAATTAAATATAAAGGAGAAATTGATTAACCAATTATAGTAACATTGGCCATTCCAGATAGCAGAACATATTTATCTTCACTTGATAGAGATGATGGACCAAATATGAAAGTTAAATTTGAAGCTCAAAATTAAAAATTAAATGACTCTTCTTTTGATATTGATAATTCAATGAAAGAAAGTTTTATTCCTAATAGTGGCAATCATTCTATGACTTAATCATTAAATTTAAATGTCCCATAATTAATGAGATAAAATTCAATTGAAAAAATTAAATAATCTTAAAATCAAAATAAAGAATATCTAAAAGAACAATCTAGTAGTCTTTCAGAAAAAAAAGAAGAACCTCCTAAAAAAAAACTTAAGTTATCTTTTTTAAAAAAAATGGAAAAGGCTCTTGTTCCAAAAGATCCTCCATCTGAAACACCTACAACACCAAATGGTCCTTCTTTTTTATTAACTTAATAAAAGTAATAATAATAATAATAATAATAATAATAATAACCTAAAGAAATATAACAACCTACAGAATTACAATAACCAGAGAAATAACCTTCCTCATTTTCTGTACCAGAAGAAAAAAAGAATTCATTGTTTAATCCTTTGGGGTTGTTTGCTAAATTATTTGGAAGATTAAATCTTAGAAGAGTATCAAATCTTGAAATAAAAAATGATCAATTTGAATCATAAGAACAAGGTTTCAGAGAAAATTCTGAAAATTCAGAAAAAGGAGATATGAAAAGAAGTGGACATAGTACTCCTTCAGGAACTAATTCAATGTCTAGTAATAATATAACAAGTTAAGGAGATTAATAAGAAGATGATGGAGAATTAAATAATGATGATGAATTAGTTAATATATTTGAAGTAATGAGTTAAGCATCTAATCATTAATCTATAAAATCTATATCAGCAATTTCAATGGCTACTAATATATCATTAAGATGTCTAAAATATTTACCAAGATAAGCTAAATCATTATAAATTTTTAAGATAATTTTAATAATCTTAAATATTTCATGTATTACTAGTTTGTTGTTAACAACATAAAATTATTTTGATAATTTAAGTGTGGATAGTCTTAGTTTAAGGATTAATAATTAATATCGTTATTCTGCTATAATACTTTAATCATCAAATTAAATTGATTAATAATAAATAATTAATTTTGATCAAATTCCTAATATTACTTTAATGAATCAAATAATTTCTTATTGTTATAATCTTAGTATAAATATTAGTCAATCTTATTTTGATGTTATTGATTCTATATAAAATGCTGTTTAATTTCCATTACCATAATTAGATGTATTATAAATTCCAGATGATTATTACATAGTTTCACTTTAAGAGTTTTTAACTCAATAGAAAATTGAAATTGATTCTATTGAATTCATCCAAAATTACAATAGGAGTGATGCTTCATTCCAATAATTGTATAATAATTCTATAGATTATTTACTAAATAGATTAGTCTTCACTTAATCATAAATCAATAATATGAGTTAACAATTAAGAACAAGTAAAAATAATAATGTTCTAAACAAAGCTCTAATTGTAACATATCTAATGGTTAGCTTTGGTGGTTTACATTTAATTGTAATTCTTTTGATTGTTCCTTTTATTAGATAAATTAATAATATATATTTCCGTGTACTCTGTATTGTAAGTAGAGTGACATAAGAAGAAGCTGAAGATGAAATTAAAAAATTAACACTTTCTTAACATTTACTTGAAACTTAAGATGATTCATGGGTTACTTAAAATCAAATTAAACTTATTTTTTATAATAAAAGCAAGGAAATTGATTTAAATGAAAAATATACTAAAAATGGTAATATCAAAGCAAAAGGAAAAGAAAGTTCATATTTTTATTCAAAATTAAGTGATACTACTTTAAGTATATGGAAAGATATGGGATTATACATAATGATATCATCTATTTCTATAGGTTATTTAATTTTTTCTATTGTTATTATACAAACTTAAATTAATACATTTACTCCTTTTATTGATAATTTTGATGAAACTGTTAGTACAAGTGTTTATACTACTAGTTTAATTTCAAAATTATCAATTACTCCTTAAAGATATTTAAATTTATAATAAACCAGTATACCTACACAATTTACTTTATTGAATTTCTAATAAAATTAATAGATTTCCTATTTCTTATAAACAATATCTTCAGATACTAATAAAATCAAATCTTTTATTACTGATATGTCAAAGTTTTTAGAATAATTAAATTTAGATTATGGATATGATTCTAATTCATCAAAGATTTTAATAAATTCTGAGAAATATTAATCAAGATTACCATATATTTAACAATTAAGTGTATTAAGTGAAATAAATCATTTACTAAAAGACAATTTATGTTATTATTCTTAAGAAACACTTTGTTAATAATAATTATAATTTGATTATTTTGATACTGGCTTAATGGGTGCATTAGATATCCTATAGAAGATGTAATTTAGTTATTAATCATTTTTAAATGAGTATCATTAAATACAATATTCAGATTAATAGAATAATACAAATTTAATTAATGCTTATTATAATTCTTAAGATTATAAATTTTTAGTTATGTATGGATAAGAATTAATATTTAAGACATTTAATAGATTACTATTATTATTGGAAACTTTCTTGATAGATGAAAAAGAATCAAAAAATTAATTAATTTAGAATTTATTTATTGGCATAGGTATACCAATTATGATTATGACAATACTTTTGGCTGTTTTAGAAATGAATTTACTGAAGTAAAAAGTGAGGAGAGTTATGTTATCTCTTACATTCCTGCCTACATTTAAGTTTTAAGATAAGATTGTTCTTTCCCTCATTAAGGCTATTCTCAAAATTTGAAATTAGGGATTTAATTATATATATTTTACAATTTTATATTACATCTTAATACATATAAAATTAATATTTTATAAATATATAAATAACTTATATTTCATATTCATTTATTTATTTCCACAACAACAACTTACTTTTTCAACAATTTTAACCTTTATTTCTAAAAAATTAGATATAATAATAGAGATTCTGTATTTTTGAATAATAATTATTTTCATTTAGATGAAATAGATCTTTCCATATTTAGCCTAGTAATGTGGAAACATATTTAATAGATGAATTATTAATTAATACAAAAAATTTAATTGAGAAATCAGTCACTTCTTAAATTTCTTTATCCCCAAAATGCCTGCAATTGATAATTTATTTTTATTAATGGCAATTAAACCTATCCTTTTTTATCCTGGTTTCAAAATTCCTATGACAAAATTATACTTTTAAATGTCTTAAGAATACTCTAATATTTAAATAAATATAAGCACTACCCATGTCTAAATATACAGAGGGAGTCTCATTTAAATCGGTATCAATAGAAGTCCTTTTACTCCATAAAGACATTAAAGTATTCTAACCACTCTCTTATTTCTTTTCCATTTATTTAATTTATTAATTTTGATGACATCTAACAATTTGTCTATTAATCTTGAAATTATGATATATCAATCATTAATAATGCGTCACATTATTTTGCATAATTAACTTTAGTAATTAGTTATGGAAAATTTAAATAATTAATATTGATATATATTAATTAAAAATATTTGTTAAATACTTATTGAATCTATATATTTAGTTAAATTATTATTTATTTAGGCATTATACTTATTAAAAAATAAATAATTCATAATGCCCTTATATGATGTTTATAACATTATTATACTTATCTATTTTACTAATTAATTATATTCTTAATTAATTCAGTTATCATTTATAATTTTAATACTAATACAAAAAAAATTTAAATTGGATATATATAATCGCTCAAAATGAATAAAATCATATAAATTTCTTATATTCTAAAAATAATTTTGATAAGGCCATAAGCAAATATGGAATGATGAAAATAACATAGTATTCTCACTGTCTAATATATTAAAATATTTATTAACATTATACATTATACATTAATTATAACTAGGTGATAAGGAGAATAATAATATATATTATTGTGAAGTTATCTAATAATTTCAAGTTTTTTTAGATTTCAAAAATATAATTCTAGTAGAAAAGGAGAAAATGTAAAATTTCTTAATTTATGCTAGATGAGATTTATTAAATAAGTTGATATGAATTTTTTAATAATAATATTTTAAAAGAATTTAACAATTAAAAATGATAAATGAAAATATTTATTTTTGCATTTATCAGAAAGTTTCTTTTTTTATTAATTTCATTTGTTGTTTTTAAAATATATAATATACATTTTATTTATTGTTTATGGAATTGGAAAATATGGCATAATCATCTTTTATTTTAAATTAGTTGAAATAGAATTAATAACCTGTTTCAAAGGGCTAAAAATTAGAATTGGATATTAAATAAAGCAATCGTTTTTCTTTGCCTTCTAGCAATTAAAATATTAAAGCATAAAATTCCTATATTTATTGTATAAGATATTTGAGCATGTCTAAGAGATTTAAAATTGAACATTTAAAGGATTCAAATTTTGTAGAGGCCATATAAAATATTTAAAATCTAAATGGAAGAGTTAAGGTTATGGGAACTATCTTTAAAGTTATGAAATTGAAACCTTATTATTTTTAATAATATACAGAAATAAAAATAGCGGGTATTCAAAGAATGTTTATTTAGATTCTGTTTAAAATGAAGAAATATGTTATTTAGAGGATAAATCAGGCAGAATTAAATTAGAATTTACAAATTGTTAACTTAATCTACCAAATAATACTTCAAAAACAATAAAAATTGAAGACTTAATAACAGGAATAGTTGTTATGATAGAAGGATAAATTGTTGGGAATAATATAGTAAATGTATAAAGGATTAATTTGCCTGATTTTATTGATCCTCCTATTTATAAACCTTTAAATTAAACAACATATGTTTGTTTGATGTCTGGATTAAATTATGATTTAGAAAATAATACTACAAAATTGAGACATTTGATATAATATTTATAAGGAAATTTGTATTTTGGTTATGGAAATGAAGTAATTATAATAATTATTTCAGATCTCGTCAAATATATCATAAATAATAATTGCAGGTAATTTATATGGAAATTAAAGAGATGCAAAAAGTTGTTTAACAGGATCTATAAAATAGTTATAAGATTTTAAGCAACTTTATAATTAATTACAAGAAAATATTAAAGGAGTAGATGAATTACTTAATGAATTAGCTAATATTATTCCAGTAGCTATAATGCCTGGATAAAATGAACCAGTATCATAAATGTTTCCATAATCACCTTTGCAAAGAGCTCATTTTGGAGAGAGTTTTGAAAAGAATACTAAAATTTAATTTTTAACAAATCCTTCAGAATTTAATTTGGGAAACATTCAATTTGTTGGAACAAGTGGATAAAATATTTAGGATATTAAAAAATAATAAAATATAAAAGATTAGTAAGATATAGATTTAATTGAAATGAATTTATTTTATGGACATTTAGCACCTACATTACATGATACTTTAATGTAAAAATAAGAATATATTATTTAGTTAATAATAATAATTTACAAATGATCCATTTATTATTGAATAATTACCAAATATCTATTTTGTTGGTAATATGAAAAAGTTTGGAACAAAGAGATTATTAAATAATTTAAGAATTATTAGTATTCCTTAATTTTCTGAAACTGGTATAATTTGTTTAGTGAATTTAAGTACATTTGAATGTTTTTCTTTTGAAATCTAATGATATATATATTAATTATTAATAAATATTTCTTTATTTCAATGAATTGTTATCATTCAAATATATTATAATATGAGTAGATTATAAATAAAATGGATGGAACATTTAGTATGTAAATAATAATGAGTTTTAATGACTGTTTGAATTATTTATTTTAAATTCAAAAATGGATAATTATAAGAAATACCTCTTTGATGAGAAATTTTAAGAACCTTAACCTCGTAATACCTATTCATTTTAAGCTTAAGAAAGCTAAGAAGAATAATAAATAGAATCAAACTTTGATGATGAGTATAAAAGAGATTTTTTATCAAATCAAATAAAAAATGTAAAAGAGAAACTCATAATGATGGGTTATCCACCTTTAGGAGATTTATATAGTAATAATAACTCTGAAGTAGATCTCACAATTAAATTGTATTAGTTTATTATATATATAAAATAGATTAGTTGCAATTATAAAATAAAGAAGGGAAGATATGGATTTCAAAAACTCATATCATGAGAAAATGAGTAAAATTGAAGCAGAGAAATAATAGTTATCTTAAAATTTAGAAAGAGTTACTAATAGTCGTAAAATACTTGAATAAGAAAATGCTAATTTATAAGCAAAAATTAAAAGTGCAGAGAAGGTTTAGAAAGAATAAATGTATATATATATATAGTATTTATTAATTTAGAAATAAATTAATGGCAGAAAAGGAAGACTATTAAAAATAATTATCAAAATTATAAAGTCGTTCAACTTAATTTGAACATGAATTAAAATAACGTGATCTTGAAATTTAAAAAATTAAGGAACACATTAAAAAATAATAATCATCTAAAACTTATAAAAATAGTGTAGAGATTACATAAACAATAGAATAAGGAGGACCTAGTTTATTTGCTGCTAATGGAGAATATGAATTTAGTTAACTTGTAATGAAAAAATGGGAAGAAGTCAATAATAAATTATTAAGAGAAAATGAATAATTAAGAGAGAATTTAATTAAAATTCATAATGAATTAGGTGAAATCCTTTAAATTAGAAGAGAAGTTTATATAAAAAGAAGAAAAATAGATTTTGGAGATGAAAATATTCCTTAAGAATTAGATAATCCTTTATAAAATATGCATCAATTTAAAACTGATTTGTATAAAGCTCCATTAGAAACAAATGGTAAATAAGCCATTTAAATGCTTACAGAAAATTTATAAACTTTTAAAGAATTAATGAAAAAATTTGATTAATAATATGAGTTGCAAATGAATGAGGATGATATTGAAATTGAAGGAGAAGGTGGAAAGATTAAAGCTTGTAAAAATTTGACAGAATTATTTAAGAATTATAATTATATATTTGATGCCTAAGATAAAATGATTAGTTAAATTATCAATAAAAGTTAAAATCTAAAGAAAATTGATGAATTAAACTTTAATTTGAATAGATTTAATAGAGTATTAGATGATAAATAGATTGATGATGTAAAGAAGTATTTGTAAGATTAAAAGAAATATTTGGATGAGTCTAAAAATGAAATGGATATGATTAAGAAATAATTTTAATAATAATTGAAAAAAAGAGAAGAAGAAAAATAAATAATTTAGGTATTAAATTAATTTGATTTTTAATTTTAGATGAAAAAATAAATGCTTGAAGAGACTAATGAGAAATTTAAAGAAAATATTAGATTATTAGAAAATGCAAGCAGATAGGCCCTTCAATAACTTAATTAAGAATACAAGTGATATAAAATTAAAATATAAATTATCACAAATTCATTATTATCTGCATTAATATACATACATATAAATGAATCGATTTAAATTATATGATCAGTAAATTAAATAAGATCTTATATGTTTTTATATAAGTTATAACAAAATTATTGGATCAATTGATAATCAAAATTTACATAGTTATCATTGCTTAATATTGTATTTGCTATTGTTGATTTCTTATTTTTTGAAAATATTAACTTGTATTTACTATTAAATTATTATTTATTGTTCTTCATGGATTAATAGCACTAACCTAGGAATAACAAAAAACGATTAACAATTTCCAAAGAATTGGCTTAAAGAAAGTAAAGCATAATTTAGTAATTTTAATGTAATCTAATGTTTTTTATTTTGATTAGCTGGTACTCAAATAGTAAAGTAAGATTCTTCATCCAAATTGATAAAACAAGAAAAATAGAATAGAAAAGAATCTATAGATTCATCCTTAAATTCTCGCTCATCTTTCTAAAAATAAAAAAAGTTTTTTATTTGCTTTAAAAAGTAGAAAATAAATAGATAAAGAATCAGATGGAATCCAAGAATATAATTTAAATTCATCTGATTATTCAGAAGAAACTATATTAACCGTATAATATGTTTCATATGAATCAAGAAGAACATCATAAAAGTTTATTTCGACACTCAATGAAAAACCTCAGAATTTTAATTCTAAATTTGATTAAGAGATTAAAAAAGTAAAAGAAAAAGATAATCTATTGAAATTTGCTAATTTATTTTAGTTGGATTTTGAAGAATCATAAGAAAATGAAATAGCATACAAGAAAATAATAAAAAGATATGATAAACAATATCAAAGAAACCCTTTTTAAGATCCATATTACATCTAATTAGTACCATTAACTGGTTTGAGTCGATTAATTTATGAATTAAAGGTAAAATAAAATTATAATATTAAGAAATATTAAGATAATGCTAAATTTTTGTAAATTCGCAAAAGCTTAGTTTTTCTATCCTTAGTATTTGCTATCTTAGCCAAAGAAATGATGAAGAGTAGAATATATAAAATTTTAATGACAATCTTAATATTATTTAATGTTGTCTTATTTATAGTCGTTAAGACATAGCATAGAGAAGATACTTTTGAAATAGAATAGGTAATAACTATATTATTTATAATTGAAATTTTGGTTAGAATATTTGTTTCAGGATTTTTCTTTACAAAAAATGCGTTCTTTAGGAATATTTAAGATATTTATGATTTCACATTGATATTTGCAACTACTATCAATCTTTATTATCCAGAGATTTTTATTATAGATATATCACCTTTGAGAATGATTACACTTCTTTTCTATCTTGGAGATATATTTGTTGGTTTGGGTGTTATGCTTTTGGCTTTGAAATAGTCAATTAAATTTTTATTAGAGGCACTTATGATAGTTGGACTCTTTTCTTTATTCTTTGCAATTTGTGGAGTTTTTTTATTTTAAGGATTATTTAATTTTAGATGTGAATATGATAATGGTGATGAAACAGATGGATGGGTATAATGTCATTAAAATTAATGTTATGAAGATGGCATGACATGTAAATATACTGAAGATACTCCTAAAATGCCAACATCATTTAATAATGTAATCTATTCATATGGTTAAATTTTGAGAACTATTACAATGGATGATTGGAGTTGGGTAATGTTTTTTACAATGAGAATATTCCATCCTTAAGTATGGATATACTATTTAGGAATTATATTTTTGTGTGGTTTTTTTGGTTTTAATTTGGTTATAGCTGTGTTAAAAACTCATTATGCTGAAGCTGCTGAAGAAAGTGAAAAACAATAAGAAAAACTTAGGATTGATAAATTGATTAAAGATAATTAAGAATATCCAGAGAGAGAATTAGTAAATGTCTTTGATGTTGCTTTTTTAAGATATATAGGGTTTTTTGCAACTATACAAAAATATCGAGAATCTTTTTAAAAAAGAACTATTCTTAGTTGGAATCTAGAATCAGAAGCTTAAATGAATAAAACTATTATTGAAGCTAGAACTTTATCAGCAGCATAGAAAAAATTAAGTAATTAATATGTAATAAATAAATAATATATTATAGAATGTAGAAAATCAAAGTTTTTAAAATAAATTAAGGGAACTTACATTAAAGAATCTTTTATTAACTAAATTTCGTTTATTGAAATAATAATAGAAAAAAATAAATATCAAAAAATATTCAGATGATCCAATAGAATTAGAAATTTTATAAAAATTATAGAATTTTTCATATTCATGTTTATAATCCTAAGTGAATTATTAAATTGAATAATAATTTACAAGTTAACATGATATTTTGTTAAAATTAATGTATATTTTAATAATTTAATTAATTAGTGAGATTGATTTAGCATTATAAGAAGAAAAGAAATTCAATCCAGAAAAATTAAGAAAGATTAAATTTAAACATTAATATCCTGATTGGTAAAGTCAAGTATAAAAGATAAAGTAATAGGCTCAAAGATCTATTTAAATAAAAAATAATAAGTTTCCTTGTAAATATAAAAAACATAATAAATGGAAAACAATTATAAAGATTGAAGATGAAAAAGAATAAGAAACAAGTAAAAATTCAATTGATGCTTTTGAAAGATCTCCTGAAAAGAAATTTAATTTTTGTTTTGATAAAAATGTTTCAATTAAAAAAAAGTCAAAAAAATTTGCAAAATTTGTTAATGGTGAAAATGTTGTTTATGTTCAAGGTTATTACATTACTTATTAAGAAATAAAAGATAAAATAAATATTAAAATACCTACATTAAAAAATAATTAAACTAGCAATCAATTTAAATATAGAAAAATAAGAGAGAAGGAACTTTAAAATGGTAAATTGATTACTTCTAGTAATTGGTCAGGTAAAGATGTTTTAATTCTAAATACAAAGAATTTATAAATGTTTAGTCATATATTCCTATAACTTAATTAAAAAGATCTTTTAATATGGATGAAAGGTCTTAAAGGTATGTTTTTAAATTTTAACAAACATACAAATAAAATAATTACAAGTTCAACAAGTTAAACATTTTTTGATTTAATAATTTTCATTAATTTTACTTTTTTAGCACTTTGGAATATTGTTGATTCTACTACTATCCATTCAGTTGAGAATGCTTCAACAATTATTCTATCATTTGAATTAGGTCTAAGATTAATATCAATCCCAATAAAATAATTTACTAGTAATCCAAATTATTTGTTTTAAGCAGCAATAGTAATTTTAAATATCATTGAATTAACTATAAAAGATTTATTAATTGATTTAGGAGAATAGAATTTGAGATTAATTAGAGGTACAAAATGCTTATTATTTTATCGATGTCTAAAATATAATGCAATGGCTGTTAAAATAGGGCATATAGCTTCAATGACTTTCAAATAATATATCTATTTGACATTTTTAATGTTCTTAGTTATTTTTATGTATGCTTTAGTAGGAATGGAGATGTATGCTGGTGAATTTAATTAAACAGATTCTTTAGGATAATTACATTCATATGATAATATATTTAAGGCATTTATGACAATATTTAATATAATGACAAATGATGATTGGTATGGAGTCTATGTGATGGGTAGTGATTTAAATTACACTTTTGCTGTAATCTATTCATATTCTATGGTTATCATATTGAATTATTTAACATATGGTTTATTTATGGCTATTCTACTTGATGGTTTTGGTAAGTATCTAAATTAATCAATTGATAATACTCATATATTTAAATCTGAAGAACATGCTCAATTGACTATGAATTCAAATGAGGAATTAGAATAATAAATTTATTAAACAATACTTAGTCCTCAAGCATCTTAAACTAATATAATGTTGGAATAAACTTAAACATAAGGAAAATCAAAGGTTGGCCTCATTACAAACTTTCTTAAATCAATTAGTACTTATTATTTATTAAATCATTATAGGATCTTTGAATAAAGAATTACTTAATAAATCACCTAAACTCTATACAGGAATTGAATGTCAAACATCCCTTTACATATTTGAAAAAAATAATTATTTTAGAATGATGTGTACTAAATTAGCTACATCCAAATCTTATATATACTTTATGGATTTAATTTTATATGCTTCCTTAATTACATTTATAATGAATACATATTATGATTATGAAGATACTAACAATACTATTTGTGATTACATTTAGTTGATTATTAATATTCAAATGTTTTTAGACATATTGATAAATATTATAGCAAAAGGTTTATTTTTAGATAAAGGATCTTATTTTGTATCAATATGGTAAATTTTAGATGTAATATATATAATATCACATTTTATAACATTTAATAATTCTTCTGATCATTATGCTAAGATATTTGACCTTTGTTTGTATTTAGGATATTTAAGACCAATGAAATTATTGTTTAGAATAAGTTGGTTGACTTAATTAAGAATAGCATTAGGATATTCTTTGGTTGATATTACAAATGTATTGATTACAATGTTAGCAGTATGGATTATGTTTGGAGTATATGCAATTATATTGTATGAAGGATAATTTGGATTTTGTGAAGACAAAATGAATTTTAATATTAATTATGAATAATGTATAAAGGAGAATAGAAATTGGATTAATTATAAACATAATTTTGATAATATAACAATAGCAATACCTTCATTATTTGTAACATCAACATTAGATGGATGGGGAGAAATATTTTAGATTGCTGAAAATAGTTAATCAGCTAATATTGGACCATAAGCATTCAATAGTTATGTTTATACTTACTTCTTTTTTATTATATTTGTCTTTATAGGTTCAATGTTCTTTTTGAGTTTATTTACAGGAGTATTATATTCAAATTTGAAAGAAAATCAATAAAAAATAGAGATGACAGATGAAACTTAATCTTAGAAAGAATTCTAAAAGATATCATCTATTATTATAAAAGATTTTCCTATATTTAGTTCTCCTCCAACAAATGGTATGAGAAAATTAGCATCAGATATAACTAATAATACATATTTATTAATATGTATGTATTTATTTTTAATATTGGATTTGGTAATTTTATTATTATTTGAATCAGATATGAGTGAAGAGTATTTTAGAACTGTAAATAATATACATAATGCATTGACTGTTTTATATGTAATTTGGGTGGTTTTATTATTTTTGGCTTTGGGAGTAGGTAGATTTTTTGATAATTATTGGAGACGATTTTATTTTATTCTTATAATAGTATCAATAATAGATTTTATAGCAGATTATTCTGTTGATTGGATTATGATTTATTAAAAATCAACACCACATGATAATGGTTATTAATTATTAAGATTATTTTTTTCTTTAAGAAGTCTAAGAGTAATATTAATATTTCAAGGACTTATTAATTTATAAAGATTAATGAGAGTAATGGTATTTGCTTTGCCTTTTTTAGGAAAGATATTTACAATTTTAATGATTGCAATGCTTATTTTTGCATTAATAGGATGTTAATTATATGGTTAAATTGATAGTGGAGCTGTAATGGATGATTAAATTAATTTTTAAAATGTAGCTTAAGCTCTTCTTGCTTTATTTAAATGTGCTTCTGGAGATGATTGGAGAACAATAATGACTGATACTATGTAACATAATCCTTTGTGTTTAGAAGATCCAAAATATTGTGGAAGTGTTAATAGTTAATATTTTTTCTTTTTATTTATGCTCTTGTCAAATTATGTATTACTTAATCTATTTGTTCTTGGTCTTATAGAATAATTTGAATAATTCTTTTAATTATAAAATTCACTCATATAAACTTATGTTGAAAATGTAGATAAGATCAAAACTGTATGGTGTAAATACTCTTCAGAAACATAAGGTTAAGCAATGAATTATAAGTTTTTATGCAAATTTCTATTAGATATAGGTAAACCTTTAGGAGGAAGTAAAGAAGAGAATCTTTGGGATGTAGCTAAATTGGCTTCATCATTTAAATTGAAATGGTATTGTTTTTGTTTCTATATTATTAGTGATCATTATGGTTATATATAATATAATCATTTGATGTATGAATTATTTAGAAGATGTTTTATAAATGAAGTATTTAGAGAAGGTACTGAATCTTCAATAGTAAAAATCAAATAATTCAATAAAGAAATGTAGTTGAGATTGATGTACTATAGAAAAAATAGATTATTGGAGAGAACAAATATTAGTCCAAGTAAATAATTAAAAGCTAATTTCAATATTTTACATGACTATTTAACTGTTTTGATATTATTTAAAACATGGGAATCTTATTCCAAATTAGTTTTTATTAAGATTGATAAAGAAGGTAATTTTTCAGATTGTGATGATATTAGTATTTAGAATGATAAAGTCAGTAAATAAAAGTATACAATATTTTTAATTAATTTAGTTTCAACATTTACAATTATGATGATGATATGTCAGATTCTGATAATATGACTTAAAATTAATAGAGTAAATAATTATCATAAATGTTTAATAATACAATGAATCAAATGTTATATAGTAGTAGTATTAGAAGTAGTCCAAAAAGTTAAATAAAAAATAGTCTAAAAAATTCTAGTTTTAAAAAGAATCTTAAAATGAAACATAAAAAGAAAGATAATTAAAAAAATAGTTTAAATGAAAGAATAATTGATCCAACAGAATATATTATATAAACAAAACATTAAACTACTCTACAAAGTCAAGATCTTTAAGAATAAGAATAATTACCAATATATAGAAATTAATTTGATCTATCTCTCTAAAGTGAATATTAGTAAGGTACCTTATTAAGTGCAAAAAGAAATTAATGATCAAATTTATACTATTTATCAAACTAATTTATTTTTAATATATTCTCAAATTCTATATTTCATTAGTTATAAATATAAACATTATAAAATTCACTCTAATACAGATTTCAAATATATTAACTTTGCTGTTACTCCCCTTGCTTTATAAAAATCTAAGAAACATAAATTTCTCACATCATATCCTAAAGCTGATAGACACATTTATTTATAATAATGTTTCCCTGTAAAAATCTTAGCTATAAATATATATATATATTTTATTACAATTATTTTATTCTATATCATATACATAATGTTAAGGTCCATTTACTTCTAAAATCTAATTAAATTAAGGTAAGAAAAAGTCTATTTAATATAAATCATCAATTAGTTTCTCCTATTCATATGGTAAATTAACCATATTCAAAAATAATTATATTTCTTTCTATAAATGTGATTACTTATTCTTTTATAATATTGAATCTTAATCTCCTATCTTCCAACTATCAGGAATTGGAATATTTTTATTTTAATATAATTCAGATAATAATAAAAAATTAGATGGAGTTATTTCTAATATATTCTTATCTTTAATCAAATTAATAAGTAATGAACTTTGATCATGAGGGAATAATACAAATAAGCAGTATAAATATTGATTCAATAATTAATTATCTATTTTGTTATGTAAATTATCAATTAATTAGGATACAAGTTCCATATCATTACATTATAAATCAGCACAATATTTTAAAATAGAAAATTCTACATCAGAATCAATCTTCATTTGATTATAAATGAATTATAAACTTAATTGATCATTAAGATGAGTTGTCCTTGCTAAACTTAAATAATTTCCACATGTTTTATTCTCAAGATCTTTTGAATACTTTTAAATATATTCATTTAGTAATGTATAAGATTTTTTAATACTTCTAGAATATCTATTTTATAATTTCACTATGTCTATTCCAATATTAATAAATTAGTTGATATTATCAATCTCATTAGTGCTAATACTTTTCCACTTTAAAAATAATTCATTTGTTGTAAAAGGATCTAATTTAGTGTTGAATTGAATGGCCTTACTAATTAAAGCATTCAGCTCTTTACTTAATTATTACATTATAATAGTGATTATAAATTGATCAAATAATAATTGCAATTAATTAAAATTACTTATATTTTTATAGCAATTAAAGCATATTTAATATGAAAATTTCATAGAATTTCAAATATATTTTGAATAAGGAATTCATATATTTTTAATATTTAATTGATTATCATCTATAAATATAGAAATATATTGGTTGTCCTTTTTTAATTTGAATATTATACATTTCTTTAATAAACTTTTATAAATATATTATTATTTAATTGTACTTTTATAAGAATGAAAAATAAATAATAATTTGCTGTTAATTCCAAATTAAAACCTTCAGAATATAATCCTTTATTAGATAAATATTTATCATGTTATTTTCAAAGTAAATAAGTAATCAAGACTTTAAACAGAGGCAGACTAATTAATAAAAAAGGAGAAATCCTTGATTATGGATTATAAAAATAATACATAAGGTATCATTCAGAATTTCCATTTAATAAATTACCATTATTGGAAATTTAAGGAAGACTTAATACATAAAAATAAAGAGAGAAAATAAAATCTTATAGTGTTAATTTGACATAAGAATAATTATCTTATCATTTGAATAATACCTATTTAAAGAAACCTGAAATATTAGGAAAAAATAAAATAAAATGATTTTTGAATTATGAATGAAAAATTATTTCATTTAATAACTGCTACTTAATCTGCTGAGACACAAAAGTTTTGTCTTCTTTTATGTGCAACTAAAAACATTCCTATTTAAGTTAATTTAAATTATTAAATTATATCTCCTGGATATTATACATACTGTATAAACTTTTTCAAAATACTTAGATTTTATAAAAAGTTTTTCTATTTGACAATTGAAAAATTATCTTTTCTAAAATAATATTTATATGTCTAAGGACTTTCAAATTCTTAATCATCAATATATGTTTTATTTGATAATTTCTAGATAATAAAATTGATATCATTAAGATACTTATTGAATCTTTTATTATCTAATTAATGTATATTTTTTAATCTTTATTCTAAAATTTACAATGTTTATTAAATAGATCTTTATTCTATTATTTTTTCAAATTAAACATATGTTTAAATTAAGAAATAAGGATATATTTTATTTATGGAAATTAATTTATTAACTAATTATCTAAATTTCTTTCTTATAGGGTCTTAATTCTATTCAAAAGTAGAGATTATCTTTTTCTTAATCATAGGAATATGATGATTAATAATTTAAGTAGCATTTGATTTCTTTATATAATGCTTTAATTATTCTTCATCAATATTCAAGATATTATCAAACTTATATAATTAGAATAATTAAGGATCGTCCTTTTATATTAATAAAGCACATTATTCTAATTTTTTTAGGTTTTAATTTAAACTTTGACCTTTTAATCTTGTCCTATCAAATTTGACTCTCTCTTAATTTTTAGGATATAAATAATTTTTAATCAAGAACTCTTAATCAGGGATAAACTTAATCAAAGGACAATCAATAAGTTTATGAGAAAGTTTTCCACAAGAAAAGCATTCAACATTAAAATATTGATCGTCTCCTTAAAATATTAATTTATCTCTTATAGAACAAAATAATTCATAGTCTTCAGGGTGATCCTGTAAAATTTTTAAAAAACTCTTTCTTTTAAGTATCATAGCTTTTGTAAATCCAACACTCTTAAAAGATTCAAGAGATTCAATTCCCAAAATGAAATTCTTAACTCCAATAGAAGCACCTTTATTAACTATTCCTAAGTTGATTTTTCTTCCTTGTTATAAACAGATTTAAACAGATCCTTCCTCTATATAATACAATAAAATATCGTTTGGTTATTTCATATCTTATTCTGGAGATAAAAGAACTTCTTAAACCTCCTTGATTAATTGTTTTTTAAATTATTCAGTAAAAGGTATCCTAAATAAACTACACTAATCAAAGATTTTCTAATGGGCCTCACTTATTAAAGATTGTTTTAAAAATTCTGATAAAGAATCAATAATTTCTTTCTCTTCTTCAGATTGAGAAACTACTTTATTTTCCCAATAATAAGATAAATACTTTCTCACTTAAACTTATAGACCAGATGATAGGGAAGTCTTATTCATATAAGAATTAATAATTCTTAATTTTCTTTTCTTCTCTTCTGAAAATGCAGTCATCTCAGTAATTATTGTACCTACTGTGTTAACACTATAAGGTAATTGAATGCTAGATATCATAATTAAAATAACTGAAACTATCTTTTCAATATTAGACTAAGGTGTGACATCTCCATATCCAACAGTAAATATTGTGACAGCTGTATAATAAAAGGCCTGAAGATATTATGTATTCCATGATTATTCTAACATATTAGTAGAGATCAACCAACTCTTTCCTTCATAATTATCTATACTATATTTACCAATCTAAAATTTTTATTGAATACAATTACCCAAAACCAAAAACATGAAAATAAATGTATAACATAGAATAAAAATGCAATCAACTTTAATAAAGCCAAGATAGATGATGTTTACTTTGATAAATTTAAACCTTCTTCATAATTAGTGACATAATTGATAATTGTCTTATGATGTACTAAAAATATTAATAAACCTATATTAATTAGATTATTTGAAATATCCAATGATATATCTGTAAATGCTGAGATTATGAAATATATAAGTAATTATAACACAGATATCCATTGCAACCCATATGTATTATATAAACTATTTTTGATGATTTTAATTCTTGATTACACGGCTTCTCCATTTTGAAAGTATATAGTGTTTAGACTTAATAATAAATCAAAAACTAATATAAGTAAAAACATTATTGAAATATAATGTAAATCATGAAAAATAAATTATTAGGTTACCCATGCTAAATCTATAGGGATAATGTATAAAAAATATAAACGAGCAGTTACAGCTACAATATCCCATATCACCTTCATATATTAACCAGGATGAATAAGAGGCAATTTTTCTAATTTAATAATTATGGATTTTTTAATATCTTAACAAAACCTCATTTATTATTAATTTAAGTGATGAAGTGTAGAAGATTTTCTCTTTGTAAGGACTTCTTCAGAAGCCCCCTGATCTCCAATCAATGATATATGATAATTTGTTAATTTCTTTACTTTTCGAATTTAATCAAGCATGTTATCAATAAACTTTCTTATAAACACATTTTTCTTTTAGTAATTTAATTATTTTCTGTCACTAGTTGGTAAATACAAAAAATCAGCTTAAAATGGAGATGACCGACACTACATTATGTTACTACTTTGAATTTTACTACTCAGAATATTTGATTCATTTTATTCAGACAGCAATTTTGCTTCAAATGCAAAAGGAAATACCAGTTTATTTTTCATTATTTTCAATATATTTATTATATAATTAAATATGCTTATAAATTTTACATTAGTATACATATATTAATTTATATTTCATTTTCTATCCCTTTTCTAATTTGTCATCATTTAAAACTTCTATTTTCTATGAAATAGATTAGGGTTAATAAAATGTTAATATAGTTAAATGCTAAAACATCATTGCCTTTCTCAATTACTCTAATATATTAAAAGAAAACTTACTGAAAATTTTCATTAATCATTTATATACTAATTTATTTAGATCATTTAAGATATGAATTTTTTTAATCTTTTACTTTAATCAAATTATTCTTTAACTTATTATTGATATAGCATTCATAAATATTCAATTCTACAAAGAATATATTTTTGATAATTTCATTCGTTTATGTGAATAACTTTCTTAATTACAATCCCTACTCTAATTTATATATAAATAATGATCTCATTCTCTTTTTTTCTTATATAAATAATTTGTATCCACAATTACATTAATATATAAGAAAGAGCTGATAATAATAAAATTATTAAAATTATTAAAGTTTTTAAGTAAGAATGCTTATTGAACTTTAAATTAAATATTTCTTATATAAACTTGAAGTTCTAAGAGATTTCAATTTATGGTTTAGCAAGGCTATAAAAATCATTTAAGTTGAATTTCTTAGATAATATATTTGGATTAATCTGATGTATTTAATTTGTTAATTTTTTTGACCTAAATTGCAAGCAATCTATTTATACTAAGTTTTGTTCTGTATTTAATACTTAAGATGCTCTTTTTATTGAAATTATAGATTAACACATCTTTTTTGAATATAATTTCTCATTTTTAAGCAAAATAAACCATAAAAAGGTCAAATTTTTTAAGTTTGGCAAGATTAACATTTAATTTTTATTTGTTCTAATGAATTAAAATAAGCTTTTTATTTTTACAAAACCATAGATAACACTTTTAAAAAAAATAGAAGGCTTTATCTCGATTAAAGGATTTATTTGGTAAATTTTAGAAGTTTTATCTTTCCTTTAAAATAGTTTCCATAGAATTATTTATAATACTCAAAGAATTTATTAAATTTCCTTAAACTAAATTATTTTCATATATTCTCAAAGTGATGTAACGGTTCTCTTTTAGTATTAAAAGTACTATGTCTTAAACCAAACAATCAATCATTTGTTTATGTATGTTTACCATAATATCGAACCTTAAAGATAGAATCAGAGATGTTGAATACATAAAAACACAACTTTTATTATTAGTTATAAAATAGAAATGTAATACTATTAGATATCAATTAATAAATAAAAAGTTTTAATGAAAGAATCGTATAAATCATTTTCATATTAATTTATTCAATAGTTTACTAGCAGTTTCAAATTTCTAATATATTTTGCTTTATTATTTATTTAATTTAATTATAATATATATTAATTAATCTATCTTTTTGATTATTTTTTTTATATTTATTATTTAATCCTAAAAGTGTAGGGAGTTTCTCTTTATTTTTATATTCTCTCATTATCAAATAATAATTAAGTCTTATTCAATTCCATTCCCAAATTCATAACATCATTATATATTACAATGATCCTTCATTTTATAAAATTCTTGATAAGTTATTAGCTCAGGTCTCTAGTTTACCTAAACAAAAAAGTTTACATTTCTTTTGTAACATTAAATTATTTTTCTAATCCTTATAAATCATTATTATTATTTTTTTGGAATCTTTCATTTATTAACACTATATTACACTTCATATAATTAAATAAATTGGTGCACTATATTAATCTGATTTGATAATTATATTTTTAATCCATTTCTATAAATTATGATTTTTCATATTATTTTATCCTATTGTTCTTACTTTATTTTTTTAATTTATTAGATTAACAGTAGTGTGAAAATGCTTTAACTTCTTCAGTTTTTGTTATCCCATTTTTATCCCATAATTTTTACCTAAATCAAAGTAAAACACTTAAGTGAATATTGACCTCTACTAATGTTAGTATTCAAGATCAACATATATTTTTTATAAAAAATTTAGATACATCCTCTCTTTAACATTAAATGATTTTACATTATCTAATAATTTTAAGAAATCTAAAATATCTCTAGTATTTGCTTGTTTTCAAAGCTCTGAATTTCATAATTAAATGGACATTCAATTTAAAATCATTATTATTATTTATTTAATTATTATTTATTATTGTTGAGATGTTCTAATATTAATATTAATAATAAATAATCAAGAATAAAACAAAAAATAGTTACTTAACTTTAAACTCTTTAAGTGATACAAAAAATATCTTAAAATATTTAATCATTATTTTTAAGAATTATTTCCTCAATTATATAAATGAATTAAAATAAGTATGAGTTAAAAAGAATAATAAAGTTCTTAAAGATTATAACTATTTAAATTCACAATAATAAAAGACACACAAAAAGTGAGAAGGATGCTTAATTTAAATAAATTTTATTCTCATTTGATCTAATTAATTTTATCCTTCTGAAAATAATACATGAAATAGCAAATAATAATTATAACAAAGATAAAAGATATATTTTATAAATAGTATTTTTTTCATATTAAAATAAGACATCCAAGACAAATTTATTATTTTATTCAGATGTAATATATAAAATGAGTTCTTTATAGGTATGATATTTATACTTATTATCTAATCTAATAATCATATTAATTGATATTATAGTTATATTGATTATACAATTTACTTTAGCATATCTCTATATCTAAATTAGTTTTATTAATGAATTATATATTTATTACTTTTGATCCTAATAATTTTAGTAATTGAATTGATTATTTTCATAAATTTTATAAACTGAAGATGCTCTCTTAAAAATCCTTAAAAGCAAAGTTAGACCAATCCATTATATATGTATCAAATTTTACAGATAATAATAGGTCAAATATAAATCTCTCATAACTTCAGAATAAAAATAGTATGAAATTCCTTCCTACTTAAATTCTAAATGTAAAATAAAAATTCGGCAGACTAAACTAAGCCTTCCAAAATTATTTACTATAATACCTTCATTGCCTTCATAAAAATCACTTTCAAATAAACATTAATGTAGTCATAGTAGGATACCCTAAATTGAAAGTTCATAAAAAGTTCATGAAAGATTACCATCAATTGTAAATGATACGTATTTTTTGAGAACAAGTTAAGGTGGTTACTTTGAAACCCTTTTAACTCAAAATAAACAAAAAAAATAATGATGGTTCTATTAATTTATTTAAGTTACTATATGAACATATTTTATAATTTATGAATATATTTATAAATAACTTCATATATAAAATTAATATTTTATATTTGAATATCTTATCAATAGGATCTTTAATAAATAAAATTGATGATTATATAATATTTCTTACAAATTTGTGATAATAATATAAATAAAAAACTTATTTTAGTATTTTTCTTCAAATCTAATCTGAAGATAATCTGAAGCTTCTTCTCTAACAAAGTTCAGAATCAAGATTGAGAGATAGAATCTTTTATGATTGAGGAGTTCCTATATTTTCTATTGACAGCAATGAATTTCGTTATTGATTCTAAAATTTATCAACAACAATTAGTTGATTAATTCCAAGAGAATCTAAATATGTGATTATCGATTATTCAACCTCAGTCTTAATTGGAAGCCAACCTTGTATGTATTAATCACTTTTTTATGAGCTTTCTGATTATTTTTACAAGGAAGGGGATTACATCAATAATATATTTTAATTATATATTTGGATAATAAATCAATTAAGTCATGCCTTATTTATAAAAACTTAATGCATCAAATTAATTTATATGTAATTCTTCTTTATAAATTTATTTTTTGAGAATCATTGTTTATTTCAACTTCTATCAATTAAAAAATAGTTGAATTAAAATTCCATTGAACTTTTCTAATTATAATATTTATATAATATAATTTTTGTAAAAATACTTTGATTGATTGATATTTAGAGATTTTAATTAATTAATATATACTAATAATAATAATAATAATTTATCAAAATGATATATAATCATAATACTTTCTAATGTTAAAAATAAAAATATTATTGTTCTAAATTCTCAAGAATACCTTAAATAAGGTAATTACAATCTTATAATTAATCTTTTCAATTATATTATATTTCTGTTACAAATTAAAAAATGATATTAATTTTTAATAAATTTGATTGATATAAATGATTTGTTTCAGAACTTAATTATGTTAAATTTTTAATTTGTTAAATTTATTTATGGATTCTAAAAATAATCGTACTTTTCTTTATGTATCTAAATAATTTGAATTAAATTATCAGTTTTTTGTAGATTTTAATTATTTATAAAATATATTAAGGATTTAGAAATCTATAGTTTTTGTGGACAAAGCATTTCTCTTTCTTAGATAATTCAAGCAACAAAGACTTTTTTTAAATGAACATTAGTTTCGAAAAGCTATTTAATCCAATTTAAATGTAAATCATTTTGATAAGCATGCAACAACTAGTATTAATTAAATTCTTTTATATAATAAATTGGATTATAAAATTGACACTTAATGCAATTAATTGTCAAAAAAGTTAGAATTTATTAAGCTCTAAATAATTATGAAATTAAACGGAAATTGTATAATTATTTAACAAATCAAGTTTTATCAAGATAACACCATTTATGCTTGAAATAAATGTTCATTAAAGATATGAATTATTGAAAAAAAGAACTATATTAAATTTCTAGTGTATGATGATTCAAATTTTCATAAAATAATAATCGATTTATGGATGATACGATTTATGGATGATACGATTTATTAAATTTTGGATGAATTTGGTAAGAAATACGTATAATTTTTATGGTATTCAAATTCTATAAAATCATTTTTAATGAAGGCTTCAATTATTTTGAAAATTATCTATTATTTATATATAAATTTTTATTTTAAGAATTAAATTATATAATATATTAATATCATTAATTAATGAATCAATTATGCATCTAATTTGATTAATTCGAGATAGATGAAAATAATCATTTAGTTAATTAATGTAAAGATTAATTTCATGATTAAATAGTTTAATTTTTGATGAAAATAACTGTAAGAAAAATTGCATTTAAACTATTTCTTACTTATATTCATTATCTTTTTCTCTTTTCATTTTTTCATATTAGCTTTATTGAATTATTAAGTTTTGAAATAAACTTTAACAATTTAATTATTTTTGATTTGATTACAATTTCTGATCATCTTCAAATTTAATTTATTTAAAAATATATTATTTTATTAATTATTTATTGGCATATATAAATGGACTTTAATTGTTCACTTATTTTTAGAATATTTTCAAAATACTAAAAATTTTATAAAAATAACAATATATATATTAAACTTTATTGATAATTTCTAAATACAAAATACTTTGGCAATAATAATGAAATATTTCTATATAAAAGATATTCTATATGTGATTTTCATATTCATATATAACATATTGATTTAGTTTTAATCACAATTTTATGGAATCCTAGAATTTTTTAATAATTTCAATTATTTACATATTTTATAATATAATTATTTATCCAATATTTAAGTCATATATAATTATATTGTTATTTTTTGAAAAATAATTTGTTAAGTATTTTTTTTATTTGTATTTTAATGATGTAAATTTGAAAAAATGCAAAAAAGAAAATAAAATAATGGCTTTTTTAAATTTGATTGGTTTTATACGTTAAATTTTATTATTATTTTTATTAATAACTTCTGTATGCCAAAAGTAAAGTAACTTTATGGACTCTCCTAAATTAGTGCTATAAGCAAATCACCAAAGAATAATACTAATAGATTAAATGGTTCTCAAACTTAGCCTGCAAGTAATAGGATAAATTTACAATATGATGCAGAATGTGAAAGAAAGGATTGTATGATGATAAAATGGAATGGAATATAAATGTAACATTAACTCTAACTTCTACAAAAAGAATTGGATAAATATAAATCACTTTATGTAAAGGAAAGAAAAAAAATAGCAGACACATATAAGGAAATAGAAGAAATTATGAATGCTATCACAAAAAAAGAAAAGGAGTTGAAGAAAAAAGAAACTTAATTAGCAGAACTGGAATAATAATTATAGTCTTAAAATTTATAAAATGATTCACTAAATTAATCTTTAAAAGTCTTAAATAAATAACTAACAGAAAGGGAATCTCAACTTCAATTATAAGAAAACAATTTAAATCTATAGACAAAAAATTAGAATGCATTAATTGATGATTTAAATAATCTAAAAAGTAATTTAGAATCATCAGTTAAGTTTTTAGAATAAAAAGAATCACAATTATTTGCAAGTCTATAAGATTTAAATTAATAAGAATAAGATACTATGAAAAGGGTTGATCATATTAATTAATTTCTTAAGAATTCTAATGATCATTAATCATTAATGCAATCGATAGAATAATTATTTAGAGAGAAAACTAAAACTATAGAAAATGTTAAAGAATCAGTATTATAAAGATAAGAAGAATTATAATATTATGAATAATAATTGTAATTAAGAAGTGTATGTGCCTCTGCCAATGAAGCAGCCTTTATGAAAAGAGTCGCCTAAACGGAAAGAATGAATTAAAAGACGCCTACTTAAGAGTCAAATAAAAAAGGAGTAATGAGATTTACAAATAGTAATAACCATAATGCCTATTCTAATTAGAACACCAATACTATTTTTGAAAATCAATTATATTCTACTTTATGTAGTCGTGAAAATAGTCCTATTTCGAACAAGGAATCATTTAAATTAATAAAGAAACCCTATTTATAGCATTAGATGCCAATGACCGAAATCAATAATTTTGATATAAAAATTTGACACTAATATTAAGTATTACACAAATTGAGCTATTATTTATAAAATAATTTTCTTCATATCTATTTTTCGTAATTATAATATTCTCCTTATGTTATTTATGAATTATAAATTTCACATAATATTTGATTGTCAACTACTTTTATTAGATTGATTTTACAATATATTATGATGGATTTAAAAATTACAAATTTTATAATATGCATAGTTTATTAGTATGAAATTATATTATACATTTGAGTCATAATAATAAAATAATTATTTAAAATTTATTGATGGGAAAGGCAGATAATTTTAGATGTTTAGATAACACTAATGTTAAAAATCTGCTGATATTTTTTAATAGTTCGATAATCTTTGCATAAATTATTGAAAATCTAATAATTAGCAGAGGACCATTTATAATGACTTGTTTGATTTTTGTTTTGGTAATGATAATTTATTAAGCATTATCCTTTTATTTTAAAACAATTAGAATATAGCTTATAATATACTGTTAATATTTTATGCTCACATTATTCTCTGTGGAATTACAAATTGACACATAGTTTTTAATTTTCTAATAATTAGCTATATTTGACACTGTGTTTTTCAATAGAAATGAAAAAAAAAAAATAGTTTAAAATATACTATTTTTTGGTGCCATTGTTATTAATACATATGTATTTCTTAGAGTTGGATTTCATAATAAATATTTTACTGATTTAATAAAAGCATTATGTTAATCAATCTTACTGAAATTATTGTTGTATCATTTTAGATAGGAACATGATGAGATATGTGATTCATTAAAAGAAATATAGAAATTAAACAATTAAGAATTAGAACCATCAGTACCAAGAAGTAATAATGTAGAATATGAAACATAAGATTCTTCAAAACTTTTTAAGACATTTGATGTATTACCTGAAGGTATAATAATACTTGAAAAGACTTAGAAAGATGATTTTACAATTAAATATTCAAATTCAGCTGCAAAATATTTAGTAGATGCTGATGATCATGATTATATGTTATCTGAACTTTTAGATCTTAAAAGTGTTTCACCAAAATAGAAAAGTGAAGAACATTTATACAAATATTCATTCAGTATTTAATCTTAATAAAGTGTGAAAAGAAATAGTTTTAAAATTATTCCAAAATAATAACCATATATTAAGTCAGCCTTTAAATTATCTTAATAATATATTATAGAAAATCAATCAAGTTCATAAAAATAAGAATTTTAATCCAATCATGATTTTTGTCTACAATTTCCTCCAGTCCAAATCATATTTCCAGGTACATAAACAAAAACAGAAAATATGAATCATCCAAATTCTCCTTCAATTCATTATGCAACTTAACATAAAAAATCATTAGATGATATAGATTCCTTTCATTATCTTTTAACCTAAATTTGGATATAATTACATACTTTAGTTAAAGAGAAAGTATTAAATTATTAAAATTAACCACTCTATTATATTCATGAAAGTAATGCTTTTGTAACCAATATTAAAAAGTTTTAAAAAAAATAATGTTTAGATCTAAAAGTCTTTAGTGCCATTCATTACAATAAACCATTATTAGTTATCATACTTAGAGATGTTAATCATAAGGATTATATTAAAGTATTAAAAGATTACAATTCATAAAAATCAAAAACACTATCATTTGTTAGTCATGAATTTAGAACTCCATTAACATGTATAATATAAATGCTTGAAGAAGTTATTGAAAATAAAAACAGTTTAAATTTAAGTGAATAATAACTCATTCAATCAGCTTTGGATAACTCTAAATATATGCTTAATCTATCAAATGATTTATTAGATTTGGCATAAATAAGGGCTGGTAAATTTAAAATTAGAAATGCTATA